TTATTCTGACATAATGTATATAAATGTTTGTGTGTTCAATGTTTCTGCTACATATATGCATAACCTTCTATATATAAATTTGGCTTGTCTGTCTGTTTGTATCCAATAAACGTCAAAACGGCTGAACCGATCGGGCCCAATTTTTTTGTGGGACATCTAGGGACCCCAGGGAAGGTTTATGAAAAATCAAAATTTCAAATATTTGTCTCCATCAAAATTCGATCGTCATTAAATTTTTAAAAATTTTGAAAATCCGCAAAATGTTTTACGATGTACACAAAGAGAACATGTTCACAACTAATTTAGAAGATGGGCGCAGGCTAGTTTTTATAAATTCTGTTAATTCATATTTACAACAGAAATATAAAACAATTTTCAATAAAAAATAAAATGTTAAACAACTAATTTGTAGGGCTTAATATATGGATCCGTTGGATCTGCAGCATTTTGGCTTCCTGGATACGGATCCAGGAGCCTAATTATCAACTAAAAAAACTTGTGCTCTCAAACCCCAAAGCTGAACTGTTGAAAAAGAGTTTATCCAAACTTTCATCTCTCTGAATGGTTCATCGAGTTTAACCATAAAAATAAGCGAAAAAAGAAGAAAATAATTTTAAAAACTTCTTCTTTTGTTAAAGAATTCGATTAATCTTAAAGAAATTTTTATGACCTAGATCCGAATCCTTTTTTTCAGGTTGGATCCAGGATCCGCATCAAAATTTAAATGGTTCCTTAGAACTGCTACGTATAAATTATATACTATGCAATGAGTGTATACATATTGCATAAAATACACCGTAAACTACACTACAGTACTACAGAAGGAACATGAGTTCTAGATATTTAAAGTTTCTAATCTGGGAAATCTTTTATTTAACTAAAAATGCATTCAAACCTAGATTTTGTAAACTCTAACTCATGGATTCTCTTTCTCTAGTTTCCCCTTGTGGTAGGATTTTCCTTGTCACCCTTTCCTAGTCATCCTATTACACTTTATACCTTTCCTTGTCATCCTATTAGACTGTATACCCTTTCCTTGTCATTCTTTCCTAGTCATCCTATTACACTTTATATCTTTGCTCGTCCCCTTTTCCTAGTCATCCTATTACACTTTATACCCTTTCCTTGTCACCCTTTCCTGGTCATCCTATTACACTTTATACCCTTTCCTAGTCATCCTATTAAACTTCATACCCTTTCCTTGTCACCTTTTCCTAGTCATCCTATTACACTTTATACCCTTTCCTTGTCACATTTTCCTAGTCATCCTATTACACTTTATACCTTTCCTTGTCATTCTATTACACATTATACCCTTTCCTAATTGTCACCCTTTCATAGTCATCCTATTACACTATATACTTTTCCTTGCCACCTTTTCCTAGTCATCCTATTACACTTTATACCCTTTCCTTGTCACCTTTTCCTAGTTATCCTATTACACTTTATACCTTTCCTTGTCATCCTATTACACATTATACCCTTTCCTATTTGTCACCCTTTCATAGTCATCCTATTACACTTTATTCCTAGTCATCCTATTACACTTTATACCTTTCCTTGTCATCCTATTACACATTATACCCTTTCCTATTTGTCACCCTTTCATAGTCATCCTATTACACTTTATACATTTCCTTGCCACATTTTCCTAGTCATCCTATTACACTTTATACCCCTTCCTTGTCACCCTTTTCCTGTGACAGTTGCTGTTTTTATGACCGTGTTTTCTACTGGCAGGTTTGGACTTAAGAAAAGTATGAATATACGGATGTGTACAATGTACATAAATAGAACTCACCTTGCTAAGATCCAAGAGAATACTGGATCCTATATTTACATATTTATATATCCCCCCTTTCCACTAACATCACTCAGTGGGGAAATTGGTGAATAAGGTGGAAATTTTTAAATCAATTAAATTGAAAGTTTACCTAGCTACACTTACATGCTGTGGGACCCATAGGAATAGGAATACGACATTAAACCAATCTGATGTATATTTGTGGTTTCTTATAAAGCAAACTTGGTTACAAGTAGCTTAAAAATCAATCTATGTGAAATAGGTCTGTGAAAACGGCACAATTGCTGTTTTATGTTCTTTGCACTATTTGAAACAATAACTTGATTATAACAGTCGTCTCCGAATCCATATTCATGTGTAAATTCCAATTTTCTTTTCAGTTTGTTTTGAATACGAGACAAAAAATCTTAGTTGTTCAGTTTATCAAATGCTTTTTATAAGTTTAAACTCTTACCCTGAACCTTAATTTCTATCCTTCTCAAACCTTTAACTATAATTTTATCCGCCGTCTTTTATTCTGTATTATTTTCTGTTCAATCATTCATGTTCCATTCTTCATTCATTTTGTTTTAGTCTATTTTTACATTACTGATTTCATTTATCATTCTTTCTGTTCATTCAGTTTTCCTCATTCCATTTTGAATCCAACCTTTGTCATTTATCTATTCTTTACCCATCCTTACTTCATTCCTCATTCTTTCTCCACCATTGTCTTCCTTCCTTATTTATATCCGATTCATCCTTCATTCCTTTATCCATTTCTGATCCGTCTATCTAATCCATTCTTAATCTTTTATCCACTTCTGATTTATCCTTCAATTCTTTTTATCCATTTCTGATCCGTCTACCTAATCCATTCTTAATCTTTTACCCACTTCTGATTAATCCTTTGGTTCTTTTTATCCATTTCTGTTCCGTCTACCTAATCCATTCTTTGTGATTTTATCCACTTCTGATTCATCCTTCAGTTTGTTTAATCCATTTCTGATCCGTCTACCTAATCCATTCTTTGTCTTTTATCCACTTCTGATTCATCCATTTCTGATCCGTCTACCTAATCCATTCTTAATCTTTTATCCACTTCTGATTTATCCTTCAGTTTTTTTTCCATTTCTGATCCGTCTACCTAATCCATTCTTAATCTTTTACCCACTTCTGATTTATCCTTCAATTTTTTTTTCCATTTCTGATCCGTCTACCTAATCCATTCTTAATCTTTTATCCACTTTTGATTCATCCTTCAGTTCTTTTTATCCATTTCTGTTCCGTCTACCTAATCCATTCTTTGTCTTTTATCCACTTCTGATTCATCCTTCAGTTCTTTTTATCCATTTCTGTTCTGTCTACCTAATCCATTCTTTGTCTTTTATCCACTTCTGATTCATCCTTCAGTTCTTTTTATCAAATGTTGTTCCGTCTACCTAATCCATTCTTTGTCTTTTATCCACTTCTGATTCATCCTTTATTTCTTTATCCATGGATGATTTAACCCGTTTATCCAATCCTGATCTATTAATTTTCAATATTCTTTCATAATTCATGAGTCCTTTATCCTTTACAACTTGGAAAAATAGGATCAATGGTTTTCAGGGGGGGCAGTCACCCCCACCCCCCGGAAGGTTAAATCTGGTTTAAGCCCCCCACTCCCAGTCAATTTCTGTATACACCACTGGTAACCAGCTACTGAACCTGTATTTATCTCTTCCCAGATTCATCCTTAATAATTGACTTGAACCCTACTTCATTATATCTAATCCATCCATCCTTACTGAGTAAACTTTTCTTATATAAACTCTGAAATATGTTGACAGGGAATAATAAACAGTTCAAGAGACTAAAAGGGTACCGTCTAACAGTTTATTTTACAGGGGGTAAAATGTGTTAAAATATTGATAGAAAACTTAACATTTTAGGAATAATCTGAATGTCATGAAATACAGCAAAATTTCGGGTTAAACCTTTTAATTTTTCAATTGTGTTAAATTTTGTAACAATTGTTCACGATTAGATAGGAAACCTATATTTAAATTTAATAATTTTATTAGCCTGATACTCATTTATAGGCAAGGGTTTTTGTATGGAAATATATGAGCATGACAAAAGGTACAATTGTGTTTTATTTTAGAAATAAATACTATTTACAAAAGCAGACTATAAAAGTAAATAAGGGTTAGGTAGCATATAATTATCACTCTATAAACACACGGTACATAGGTTCAGAGACATTATTGAACGCAAATATTAAAAGGAACTGAGTTCTTGTCAAAAACTCGAATTCTATCTATGCAACCTGATGGTGTAATCCTTTGATATTTAAAACTCAGATTATTTGATCTAATAGAATTTATAAAAATTTGAGTTTGTGTCAAATACTCATTTTCTTCAAAAATAAATAACATTTTTAGCTCAAACAAAAGTAATATAAAAATCACTTGAAAATATACATTATACAATCCTTCTTAAGCTTGGAGTATACAAAAAGTACAAGAGAGTTTCAAACTTAAGTTCAATTATCTGGATCAGATTTAGTAGAAAATCTCATGACTTGAGCCAGTTTGCTGAATCAGATTCAGTAGAGATTTATCTTAGTACTTGAACTTAAGTTCAGTTTACTGGATTAGATTCAGTGGAGGTTTATCTCAGGACTTTAGCTTAAGTTCAGTTTGCAGGATCAGGTTCAGTAGAGATTTATCTTAGTACTTGAACTTAAGTTCAGTTTACTGGATTAGATTCAGTGGAGGTTTATCTCAGGACTTGAACTTAAGTTCAGTTTGCTGGATCAGGTTCAGTAGAGATTTATCTTAGTACTTGAACTTAAATTCAGTTTACTGGATTAGATTCAGTAGAGATTTATCTCAGGACTTTAGCTTAAGTTCAGTTTGCAGGATCAGGTTCAGTAGAGATTTATCTCAAAACTTGAACGTAAGTTCAGTTTAGTGGATCAAGTTTAGTAGAGGTTTATCTCAGGACTTGAACTTAAGTTCAGTTTACTGGATCAGATTCAGTGGAGGTTTATCTTAGTTTACTGGATCAAGTTCAGTAGAGGTTTATCTCAGGACTTGAACTTAAGTTCAGTTTGCAGGATCAGGTTCAGTAGAGGTTTATCTCAGGACTTGAACTTAAGTTCAGTTTGCAGGATCAGGTTCAGTGGAGGTTTATCTCAGAACTTGAACTTAAGTTCAGTTTGCAGGATCAGGTTTTATCTCAGGACTTGAACTTAAGTTCAGTTTACTGGATCAGATTCAGTGGAGGTTTATCTTAGGTTTACTGGATCAAGTTCAGTAGAGGTTTATCTCAGGACTTGAACTTAAGTTCAGTTTACTGGATCAGATTCAGTGGAGGTTTATCTTAGTTTACTGGATCAAGTTCAATAGAGATTTATCCCAGAACTGGAACGTAAGTTCATTTTACTGGATCAGATTCAGAAGAGGTTTATCTCAGGACTTGAACTTAAGTTCAGTTTGCTGGATCAGGTTCAGTAGAGGTATATCTTAGAACTTGAACGTAAGTTCCTTTTACTGGATCAGATTCAGAAGAGGTTTATCTCAGGACTTGAACTTAAGTTCAGTTTGCTGGATCAGGTTCAGTACCAGCTCTCTGTCTTGAAGTGCTCTCTGATAAACCTGTCCCTCAGGCCTGAAATTGTATTTATTCAACTTCGTTGTTTATTTTGTTTATAAATTATAGGCTAGTATTTAGTATATATACATACATTTCGTCATCTCTATTTTTTTAAAATATGTAAAAAATAAATTTTCCTTAACTTTCACTTTTTAATCGACAACAATTTCCTAAGAAGATATCTGTACTTCGGAAAGACGATTTCCGCATGGGAGAAATAAGATTTCAATTTTCTCGGGTTAAATAAGGCTATATAAGCTACCGCAAGGTACACAAAATGTCGATCTATAAGGCTAGGAAAGGCTGGAGTGGCTTAAGGCTTTGGTATAAGCTGGGGGCCAAGCATGGTGACAAGAATGCTAAAGACGTGTCGGTTTGAAAAAAAATACGAAAATTGTCTTTCCAAGAAGTTTTCATTTCCAAAGTTTGTCTTTCCGATAATTTCCTTCTAGATGGATATCATGGATATCTTATTCATTCTTAATCAGAAGAAGCCTGTAACCCGATTGCTGTGATACTAAACCTTAGTCCGACTTTTTCAGGCCTGCTCATTAAAAAAATGAGACTTTTATCTTTAATGGTTTTACATCCATTTTTCAAGGGCTATTTAAATTTATTTTAGCCTTGTATCTTAATCAATAAAAAAGTTATTAACCATTTTTGATTATTTTGAAACAGCGACCCGCAGTAGACTATCCTCCCCCTACCCTAAGCATAAATTTTTTTTTTAGCAAAATTTGTTCACAACTATGAATTGAAAAAGTGAAGAAGTTTTAGCGTTCTAATGTTACCCGTTTTACATTTATTTAGAAAAAGCCACAGGGGGGCCCTCTCATGATAGGGTTAAGAGTGCCATTGTGAATCGGACATGTTAAGTCACATGAAATTACGACTGAAGTCTCTTTAACTAATCTGTTTAATCTGATATACCTATGCTCCGGTTCATATTGAAGACAATCTATACAGTCCTGTAGATGAAGACTAGCAGCTCCCAGTAATCCAAGAATATTCTATACAAAATGTCTAGATAATTAGACAAAATATCTGGATAATAAGATAAAATGTCTAGATAATTAGACAAAATGTCTAGATATGTCTAGATAATTAGACAAAATGTCTAGATAATTAGACAAAATATCTGGATAATTAGATAAAATGTCTAGATAATTAGACAAAATGTCTAGATACTTAGATAAAATGTCTAGATAATTAGACAAAATGTCTAGATAATTAGACAAAATGTCTAGATAATTAGACAAAATATCTGGATAGTTAGACAAAATGTCTAGATAATTAGAAAAAATATCTGGATAATTAGATAAAATGTCTAGATAATTAGACAAAATATCTGGATAGTTAGACAAAATGTCTAGATAATTAGACAAAATATCTGGATAATTAGACAAAATGTCTAAATTATTTTACAAAATGTCTAGATACTTGGATAAAATGTCTAGATTATTAGACAAAATGTATAGATAATTAGACAAATTGTCTAGATAATTAGACAAAATGTCTAGAAAATACGACGAAATGTCTAGATAATTAGACAAAATACCTAGATAATTAGACAAATGTCTAGATAAATGAAGAAATTAAACAAAACGTCTAGACAAAATGTCTGGATAATTAAAGAAATTAAACAAACTGTCAAAATAATTAAACAAATTAAACAAAATTTCTAAATAATTATATAAGTTAAACAAAATGTCTCGATAATGTTAGAAATTTCAAAGGGGAGACTTTCATGACGATAATTGATAGTCGATTGTTCTTCCTACATATATATATATATATATACAGGGCAAACGTAATTTTAAAACAAGCAAGAACTTATATTTGCTGCTGTCTAGTTCTCTACAAGTATTTTCTTGTAAAGTAATTGAGTCTTTCTCTGTATATTTGCAACCTGATGGTGTAACCCTTTGATAGTTCAAACTGAGACTATTTGATCAAGCATAATTAATAGTTTGAAATATCTAAGGTCTCCGACATTGGGTTGCAAAGAAACAGGAATTAGAAAATTAGAGTTTGTGACTATGACTCAATTCCTTTAGTTAGTTCCCATTAAGAAGACCTGGCCTAGATTTAATGTTTTTTAAAGAAACAGTAAGTGGTTGTATACTGGTTTTGGTTAAAGATAACATTCAATATCCTAGATCGAGTTTTCTAAAATAAGCCCCAATCTTTTAGCTTAAAGCCTTAACAAATTTCTTATTTTATATTTCTTTACGCCTAAATTATCTCTCCAAAATTGTTAAGAATATGTTAGAATTTCTAACAGACACCAATTTAGACAAGTCGTCTCTACCTCTTTACTATGATCTATTTCGTGTAGTTGTGCTAGAGCAAGAACAGCACGCTGTTTAACCGTTAGAAACAGTTCGTATAGCGAGGTTCCCTGATCAAACATCAAATCTCAAATATTCTTACTCGAAGACGACCTTGACGGTTACTTCTAATGTAATACCAAAGTCGGCCATCTTTTAAATTGCATAAGCCATATTGAAATTGCTACGGCTGTATAAGAATGTGGTGAAAAATGAAAGATGCAAATGTTTGATGTGTCCCTTAAGGCGGGATATCCCAGGTAGAAGTTTTCTAGCGATCTCCAAGAAGGTTTTCGCCAATTCTTCCTTTAGTTTCAAATCCTCTTCTAAACACATATAAATATTTATATATATTTATATAGATGAAACATTTTCTATAAAATGTCGTTTTAACCGTCAAAATTAGGCCTCATATTCAAGGGTGTGATCGGTCCCATTTTAATATTAATTGCTTTTCATCCACTTAACGTCGTTTTATTGTACTAAAAAGTGTTACGGTAGGAACAATGCCCATAAATTGCCGTTTTAATCTTCAAAATGTACTCGAAATGTAGTCTATCACTTTTTCTAAGATTTTCCCAAAAAATATAAAAAATATTTGTGATTTATTAAAAATTTTATTCTATTCTGTCGTATAAAACGTAAAACTAAAATTATAATTTGATTTTTTTTTGAAAATCAGTGGAAAGAGTCCGATCGGCGGTCCCGTTTCCAAAAACTTCGTAAGCGCATCAAAAAATAACATCGTCATTTTGGAATACGAGCTCATTTATTCAATCCAATATGATTTGGTACACCCTTTAGATAAATCTGTAATGATTCTACTGTCGTCTTCTTAGGGTTTCATAAGTAAAAATAAACGAAGACAAATCCCGGAATGTTTCGAATTGAGGTCAGATCTAGATAAATCTGGATTGAAAATATGTTTGTCATTTAATGAGACTTTTACAAACTAGATTCATGAAACAATGCAATATATATTATAGGCGGAGCAAATAGATTTTCAAGTACAATAGATGGCAACAGTGAAATGGGTGCAATTATACACGACGTCAAAAGTGTAAAATATACTTGATAATCTATTTCATATTTGACGTGTAGTATATATGTAGGTGGTAGATAATTAGCTTGATTGATTAAGATATATTTCGGTTAGATCATAAATAGCATGAATAACACAGACATTATAAAGACATCATGACATATCATACATCGGAATTCATAAAATTAGTAGAAATATATCGATGTTTCTAACCCGGCAAAAATATAATTTCCCAAATTATACACAAGGCAGTTCCTTATATAATTTTATTCCTTTTAGTTTGCTTGAGGTTAAAATTCCTTAAAATACCTAAAAAAACCTTTGATGGAATAAAATATAACCATCTGTATTAATGTTTATTAATTAGTTATTCCTTTTTTCTTGATCAATATCTGAAGATAGATTGATAATATTCTTCTGACCTGTGAGGTTCTCCAGGCTAGAATGATCAGTGTGCCCGAGTAGGTTTAGCAGACTGTACTTTACGTCCAGCATGTGGGCGTGGTGGGGGTGGAGAACCTGAAACATGAGAGATCATATTTTAGATGATATTTACGTAGGATATAAAGCCCTAACTCGACATCCTCTACAGAAGCTTTTGATTTTTGAATATTAATTGATTTAATAGATTTCCCTGCTGTCCACTAATTAGTCCGCCGGGGACTAATTAGTGCTTGAGGAACGGATTAAACAACACAGAGTTCCGATCTTTGGGTTCATTTTATAGATTTTTTTTTTTTTGCTTTTAAATTTTTTTTATCTTCAGTCTTCTATATATAAATTTGGCTTGTCTGTTTGTTTGTTTGTCTGTATCTAATAAACGTCAAAACGGCTGAACCGATCGGGCCCAAATTTTCTGTGGGACATCTAGGGACCCCAGGGAAGGTTTATGAATGATTGAAATTTTAAAAATTTGTGTTTAAAAGTTTTTTATTTTTGTAAAATTTTAAAAATGCGCGAAAAAATATTATGAAATCCGCAAACTTTTTTTGTTTTTGTTTTATACTGTACAAAGAGAAGATGCTCACAGATAAAGCCACAATAAAAAGTTTAAATAGAAGATTGGTGCGAAGCGCCCTAAAAGCCTAGGAAGAAGGGCGCGAAGCGCCCTGAATTTCTAGTTTTATTATATTTTATACCTTACTATAGGTGGCAAGGAACTTCTTACAAGCTGGAACAGTGAGACCCTCTTCTTCTATTTTAGAAACTGCTGCTGATACTTTACTATCTGCTAGCTCACTGTAACCCTGCAGAAGATTTACAAGTTGTATTTTAGAAACTACAGCTGATTTGTTACTATCTGCTAGCTCACTGTAACCCTGGAGAAGGTTTACAGGTTGTATTTTAGAAACTACAGCTGATATGTAACTATCTGCTAGCTCACTGTAACCCTGGAGAAGGTTTGCAGTGTTACTTTCAAGGTTTAAAGTCTAGACTCAGCATTACAGAAAAACTTTCTGTTTGAGATGGAGGTTATGAATCAACGCTTGAAGACCAAGGTTTTGGAACAATTTAAAATTTCAAAGTAACGAATTATTTCAAGGACTAATGTTTTTAATAAGTTGAGAATTAAGAAAAGACTTTACATTTAGAAACGATAAATGTTATTATGTAAACTCGGTGAAGCGTAAAAATCCAAAATAAGGTTCTAGATTTCAATTAAGGAACTAACCTGCGGAGCTACTAGTTTACATTGTGAACACGACCAGGGACTAGAACAGTCTAGGGGAGAGTCCGGTAGATAATATCCATCAGGACATTTTAAACATTTCAGCGCACTCAGATAGGTTTCATTCTCCGTCCTATCCTGACACCTAGTACACACAAATATATATTCTCCGTCATATCCTGACACCTAGTACACACAAGTATATATACTCCGTCCTATCCTGACACCTAGTATACACAAATATATATTCTCCGTCCTATCCTGACACCTAGTAGACACAAATATATATTCTCCGTCCTATCCTGACACCTAGTACACACAAATATATATTCTCCGTCCTATCCTGACACCTAGCACACACAAATATATATACTCCGTCCTATCCTGACACCTAGTACACACAAATATATATTCTCAGTCCTATCCTGACAACAGACAACTAAAAAAAGTTTAAACACTAACCTATCACAATTACAGATAAAATCCTTGCTGTAAACTAAATGTTCTCTTCTCTGTGCAGTTGTCCACAAACTGTCTAAATAGTTTATATTTGTTAAAATATTTTAATAAATAAAATACAAGTTCAAATGCTGGAATTGGAACAGAGACATAATCCAGATAAATCTTTTAGTACTTAAAGCACTTTTGATTTCAGGAAAATTCTTTTAAATTAACAGAAGTGTAGAAATATATACTATTGTGGGACCCATAATAATGTGGAATAGAAAGACGACATTTAAAAAATCTTTTGTGCATTTGATGTAATTACAGGTGTCTTCCTATTCCTCAGTTCTTTGAGTCTCTTTATATCATAATTCCAAAAAACTTAGCTTACTAAAATTAAAAGTAATAAAGGTAAGGCGGAGGAAGCTCCTGGAATTCTTGTATTTTCTACCTGTATAGCATAAGGAAACTGCATCTCCTTCTTCTAATGGATAAGCTGCCCTGATATTAACAAATTATCATTTTATTTTATTTACTCACTTCGAACTCTCATTTTCTAATTTTCTTAAACCTTTGACTCATTTATCTATCAGAATTCTTAGTTTGAAATATGACTTTTAAAAAGCTATTTTAATTGTCTGGAGTAAAAAATTGTTCTAAAACGCTTAATCCAATTTGAATCGTGATTAGTTCTAAATCGCAATTATCTTTAAATAATGTTTATTTACCTGATTGTTAATGATAAATCAGAATTAAATGTTCTGTGTACGCTAGGTGTACAGCAGTGTTCAACCATACACCCTTTACTGTACACTCCCTGCGATACAAATATAAATGATAAATATATTGGTGTACAGCAACAGTGCTCTATCGGCCGCACACTATATACTGTACACTTTACACTCCCTGCGGTACATAAAAGATAAATATAACGGTGTACAGCAACCGTGCTCTACGGCCGCACACTCTTTACCTTACAATCCTGAAGTACATGAATAACAAATATGATTGCTCAACCATTCACCATAGAGAATAGAATATATATATAGAGAGGAATTTACTAGAAAAAAGTGTAAAACGGCCATTTTGTTGTACTGTTTCCATACTGCAGGTGTACTTCACATATTTGTGCTATATAACCTGTTGGGCCCTGGAATATCATTTTATTGAAAATCTAAAATTATTGTTAAAAGAAACCCAAATTATGAAATAGGCTGGTTTCATAATTGACCAATGATCATTTCACATAGACTCTATACCTTCCACTTTACAAACGATGATTTTCCGTTATAACTATAAATCAAATGATGTTTTTCTTCACCTAATTCATTATAAAGTTTATTTAACAGTTTAAAAAATTCGAAATTGAAATGAATAGTCTAGGGAACATACTGTATTAATGTACTCTACTGCATATAATTTGTGAACATTTACATGATTTGTACACTTTGAACTCCCTTTCAGGCTGAAAGGGACTGAAAAAAATCATACCGAGAGATTCTTTTAATTCCTCTCTATATATTCTATTCTCTATGCCATTCACCCTTCTACACAATCTCCAGTACTTAAACATTTGATCTAATGATGTACTGCATCAGATTCAGTGCTAAACAATACACCCTTTACTCTATACAATCTGTAGTACATAATCATTAAATCTGATGATGTTCAGCATAAGTGCGAAACAATACACCATTAACTGTACACTCCCTGAAGTACATAAATATTGCAGTTTACAGCAGTATATTTTTAAACCAGTTTAAAATTATCTTCAGGGAACAAAAGTGGGAAATGTATTTTTATTATTAACCTGTACACTGACTGAGGAAAGACCAAGGGGAATCTCAAATGAGTTTGTCTCCAACCTGCCACACATCTCAAACACAAGCTCTCGACTGAACTTATCTCCGAGCTTGAAGGTTCCACATATAAGATTTGCAACCTGCAAGGAAGATTAGGTTGGTGGAATAGAATTGTTAGAACTGTACAAGAAATTCGGACATATTTATGACGGTTGTGGATCATCCTTGTCACCCTTTACATAGAGTTATTATTTATTTAATGGGATTAAAGACATCTTTCTTTACCTTCTTGGCTCGGTCCACAAGCTCATCATCCATACTTGAGGGATCACAGGACTGTAGGGAGCAGAGGGAGACCCAGGCTTCCTAAACATATAAGGAGTACAGGACTGTAGGGAGCACACGGATACCCAGGCGTTCTAAATATATAGGGAGTACAGGGCTATAGGGAGAAGACCCAGGCTTCCTAAATATATAGGGATCCCAGGACTTTAGGGAGCACAGGGATACCCAGGCTTCCTATAAATATAGGGAGTACAGGGCTATAAGGAGCAGAGGGATACCCAGGCGTCCTAAATGTATAGAGATCACAGGACTATATGGAGCAAAGGGATACCCACGATCCTAAATATATAGGGATTACAGGACTGGAGCACAGGAAAACCCAGGCTTCCTTAATATATACGGAGAAGAGAAATACCCACGGTTTATAAATATATAGAGTATAGGACTGTAGGGAGCACAGCACAGGGAGTATAGGACTGTTGGGAGCACAGGGAGTATAGGAAAGTAGGGATCAAATAAAATTGAATTGATATAAAGAAATTAAAATTATTAAGAATATATCTTGATATTCATTTCCAGACCATAACATTTCAAAAGATAAGTAAAACAACAAGAAAATAAATAGTACCTGGTCTGTATCCCGGAGATAAAGACATCTGAGGACCATTATAACATCATATAAAGAATCTGTGTCACAAGCATTTACTCGACAACCAGACTTAAATAAAAAGGTAACTCAAGGTTATGTAGATACCCTGTAAAGAAAAATATGGTAACTTGTAGTTATAGGTATAAAAAAGGTATGAATGTCTTCTTCCATAATTTGTTAAGTGGTTTGATACCAAACAAAACAATAGAAATATTATATGGAAGTCATATTATATTCAGATTTATTTCAAAGTAAATTATGTTTGAGTAAAAGATTTTTTAAAACAAAATAAACTGCAACAAGTCTTTTATATCTAATACAGTATATGGAAGAAGACATTCAAAACAATTTACCATCTGTGATGTTTCGCGGAACACCCTGTACCTTATAGTTTAGTGAGGTACCTTGAAGAATAAAAGAAGTCATTTTCTAGTCCCGTTACAACTTTAGAGTTTCTCAACTCCTTGGCCTTTGCCCTTCTCCGTAGCCATTGCCATGTACATTTTACTACAACGCCATTGAAACCAGTTTCAGTGTTAAAGGAGTAATTGGACACTTTGAATACAATTCAACTAGTACTAGTGTGGTAAGGTATACCTGGAGAATACAATTCAACTAGTACTATAGTGTAGTAAGGTATACCTGGAGAATACAATTCAACTAGTACTATAGTGTAGTAAGGTATACCTGGAAAATACAATTCAACTAGTACTATAGTGTAGTAAGGTATACCTGGAGAATACAATTCAACTAGTACTATAGTGTAGTAAGGTATACCTGGAGAATACAATTCAACTAGTACTATAGTGTAGTAAGGTATACCTGGAAAAGAAAATAACATTCCGGTTTATGCCTTGGTGAGTTGGAACATTCTTCTCCACACAGCGGCCATTTACACCTGGAAATATGGAATATTGTATTTACACCTGGAAATATAGAATATTCTATTTACACCTGGAAATATGGAATATTGTATTTACACCTGGAAATATAGAATATTGTATTTACACCTGGAAATATGGAATATTGTATTTACATCTGGAAATATGGAATATTGTATTTACACCTAGAAATATAGAATATTGTAATTACACCTGGAAACATGGAATATTGTATTTACACCTGGAAACATGGAATATTGTTTTGTGTGAATTTTTATTTTAATAACAGGGCGATAATTTTACTTTATCGCCCTGTTGCAAGGCGATAAAGAAATTTTATCACATACTTGTTCGACGATGGGCCCTCATAACTTATAAATATCGGCTTCCTTCACATCAAGAAAGTATCTATCAACTCATTTCCTTATTTCGTATTTTACTAAATATGATGATATGATGATGCGTTTTTATTAAACGCATCTTTAGTAAGCTGCTAAATATGCGGCCACTAAATAAATGAAGTCGGATAAAAAACTCAGTATTGAGCTAATTAAATTCTAAATTAAAAAATATTCCACCTTGGGCAGAGTGTGTGGGGTAGAGTTGCTTCATCCTCGGAACTATATTTATTCTGCAAATCTATACTTCTACAGTATACAGTTTATTTTATCTATACAGTCAGATCCAGAAAACTGTGGAATAGGAAGACGACTTGTATACCCAAGTTTTAATTTTAAACAGACCAACGAACATAACACCTATTGTACAGTGTAACCAGAATCAATACAAAACAGAAGAAATACAAAACAGAATCAATACAAAACAGAAGAAATACAAAACAGAATCAATACAAAACAGAATCAATACAAAACAGAAGAAATATAAAACAGAATCAATACAAAACAGAAGAAATACAAAAAAAAATTAGTTGAGTCGTTTTAGTTTTAGTATTAGTGTTAGTTTTATTGGGCTCCACTATAATGGCGGGAAAATGGCGGTAAAAAAAAGAAGAAACTGCTTTTCCGTCGTCGCTTGCTTGAAAAAAAAATTATCTACAGTGAAACCCTTTATAACGAATACATCGGAAGAATTTATCAAATGTCGTCTTGACAATTTTTCAATGAGTTTTATACTATATTACGTAAATTTAAGTATTTGCAAAAATAAATAAATAGCCATGAATATGCGGAAACAGTTTTAAAGAGTTCCATATAATCATTTAATCAAAAAACTAAATATCTGCAACATTCCATTATCAGAAAGTGAAGAATACGACATTTGATGAATTCTTTGTAAATCTACAGTGAAACCCTTTTTCACTGTAGATTTTTATCCAAGATACAATTTGGAAATCCATGTCAAGAAAAACTTTCATATCTTCCAAAAAATGGCAATTTTCAAAAGAACATAAATCATTTGAAAAATTATGGAAATATTAAAGATTGGAATATATTAAAATACACTCGTCAAAATTAGTTTTTGAAGAAAATAAAATCATTTCTCTAAATAAAATAAAACTGTTCCTGTAGCAGCCCAGACATACAGGAACACTATCACGAGACGGACCTACACAAAACATAGATTAATGAGAGAAAAGTAAATAAACAAATGTACTTAAGGAACACCATTTCTATATTATGGCCTTAATAATGAGCGGAGGGTTTCATTTATGATTAAAAGATTCAGTTAGGTCGATATACTTTACATACTTTACAATATTTATAGTTCTACCAGTAGTAACTGTTCGATAAACTACTAATCTAACACCTAAACCTAGATGTGGCCACGCACTAAAACAGAAATTGAGCAGTATTTGGCCAATTACTCCATTTAAGCTTAGGCTACAAATAAGCGATATGCATTTTCAAAATGGAAATGACAAAGGTTACACAAAAGTATATAAGCCTTTAAAGTCTACAGATCTACCTGTAATTATTAGTCTACTGATCCACCTGTAATTATTGGTCTACTGATCTACCTGTAATTATTAGTCTACTCATCTACCTGTAATTATTAGTCTACTGATCTACCTGTAATTATTGGTCTACTCATCTACCTGTAATTATTAGTCTACTGATCTACCTGTAATTATTGGTCTACTCATCTACCTGTAATTATTAGCCTACTGATCTACCTGTAACTATTAGTCTACTGATCTACCTGTAATTATTAGTCTACAGATCTACCTGTAATTATTGGTCTACTGATCTACCTGTAATTATTGGTATACAGATCTACCTGTAACTATAGGTCTACTGATCTATCTGTAATTACTGTTCTACTGATCTAGCTGTAATTATTGGTCTACTTGTCTACCTTTAATTAAATAAGTCTACAGATCCCCCTGTAACTATCTACTGATCTACCTGTAACTATCTACTGATCTACCTGTAACTATCTACTGATCTACCTGTAACTATCCACTGATCTACCTGTAACTATCTAATGATCTACCTGTAGCTATCTACTGATCTATCTGTAAGTATCCACTGATCTACCTGTAAGTATCTACTGATCTACCTGTAACTATCTACTGATCTACCTGTAACTATCTACTGATCTACCTGTAACTATCTACTGATCTACCTCTAATTATCTACTGATCTGCCTCTAACTATCTACTGATCTACCTGTAACTATCTACTGATCTACCTCTAATTATCTACTGATCTGCCTCTAACTATCTACTGATCTACCTGTAACTATCTACTGATCTACCTGTAACTATCTACTGATCTACCTGTAACTATCTACTGATCTACCTGTAACTATATACTGATCTATCTGTAGTTATCTACTGATCTATCTGTAAGTATCCACTGATCTACCTGTAAGTATCTACTGATCTACCTGTAACTATCTACTGATCTACCTGTAACTATCTAGCGATCTACCTGTAACTATCTACTGATCTACCTCTAACTATCTACTGATCTACCTGTAACTAGTGGTTTATCATGAAGAATGATTGCCCCCTGAGGTATAGCTGTAGTTGTAACTGTGAAAATAAATCTCAAATTGAGAAGAAGAAAAAAAGTAAAATTATTCATATTATTTTCAGAGAAAAACCTTAAAAAGAAGAAAAATCCACAGATAATAATATTTTATGATATTTTCCTATATGTCTTCCTACATCCGGGGAATCAGCAATCCTGTACACCTGGGTTAAATAAAAAAGAATAATAATAATGATAATTATAATAATAATAATAATAATAATAATAATGATAATAATAATAAAAATAATAATAATAATTTTTGTTGTATAATGTATTATACATTGTACAATTACAGTAAATATTATCCGTGGGTACTGGTTGCCCCTTTTTACTTTGTTGTTTACCAGTGTACTGCACTGTTTACAATCTGATTAACCCAGCTCCACGCGCTTAGTTAAGATCTATTACCCAAACAATTATCATCAGGTATAAATCATATTCAATTGTCCAGAAAATTGTTATGCAGTTTTGTTACAAATGAATTGTTAGATCAGAGGGCGCCGATCAGAGGGGTTAGGTATTATATTTTCTTATTATAGATGTAAATTATTCATCTAACATATTCTTTATAGAATTGGTAAATTGGCGAGACTGTTGCACAGCCTTGGGAAGTTCTCGGGTTCTGTGCAAAAGCCTCTGTACAATAGAGGACTCATACATGTCCTCTACTTGTACATGCTAATATCCTCCACCACCAACAACAGCGAGATAAACAACTACAAGTAATATTATCTTTTTGTATAAAATAAATGTTGAATAGTGTAACATGTCATTTAATTATCATCACATGGTCAAACCAAATGCACTGATTAGTTTGGCAGATCTAATTCGTCTTTTTGTATAATAACCTCTTAGTAGTTTATACTAGAATAATAATAATTATTTACCTGATCCTTAACCTCTAACCCCTCCATGTCTCTGGCAATACTATCTACCTCCATTTTTTCCTTTAAATTAACAATCTTAATTTTATGATTTGAATGTTTATTTCAGTGCGATTTGTTTTAACAAGTAAATCCAAATAGATTGTCAAGTACTATTTAAGTAAATCTATATAATAAAACAAGACATTCGTATATAGCCGGCCTAACGGCTGGACCGATTGGGCTGAATTTTTTTGTGGACACTCATGGGTGGCCGGAGGGTGTTAAAGGCTAAACAAATTTGATATTAAAAAAAAAATCTATTTTTTTTCAAGGGCAACGCAGGGTCCTTAGCTAGTATATATTACATAATTTCAGCTTTATAATAAAGATCAAAATACATGTTTTTATTTATTAAGTACGACTGTGTAACAGAGTAGTTTTGTAGTTGGATAGATTTTTTAAACATTCTACACATTCATTATTTTATTTAAAAAGAAAAAAAAAGTTGAAGGAAAGTAAAAACTACAATAATAGAGAAATTATATTTTGAAAAAAGTCGAAAATTTCAATTTTAAAAGCAAAAATTAGTTGGTTTTGATTTTTGACATTTATATTTGTTGTCGTTAAATGTCGCGACCTAGAAAACAGGAAATGAAAGTGGAAATGTGATTGTGAATTTTTAGATGAAAGCATACTATCATAAGCTTTGTTTACAATGCTCTTTCCGCATTTTACATTTGTGTTCCTCCTTTCAAAGGGGGAACGGCTTTAATTCGTATGGGTTCTCCATCCCTTTTACAGGTTAGATACTTCCAATTGATTTTCCGTTAGAATCTTAGAATACAATAATCTTAGAATACAATATCTTTATTTCTGGACATTTGAAGACGACATCTTATTAAACATCAGTCCAACATCTATTTTATCACTCTAAAGTTACTTGTTAATCTTAAAATAATGATTACAAATATTTCAACTGAAATAAATCACAGAAATATTAAAGTACTTCTGTATTCTAAATCAAAGCTCTCACGACTCAGCTGTGTGGCAGGCTAACCCATCTGTCTCGCTGGAAGGTGACCCGGCACCCCCGACCTGCGCGGAGATGACACTAAACTAACCAGGCCTGCGCAGCTATCGGCCCGCTACCTGCCTTGAGAAAGTATATTAGGCTAATGGGGAACTAACTTTTTAATGTATTTTGACAAGAGATCTGAGAGCTTCGTTGCGTTAATATACAATTACAGGGTCAGACAGGGACAGTCAGATTTACATTCAAAAACAAAACTTTATGTCCGCCAACACCAGAATTTCAACATTCAATGACGAGATAAGATTCTTTAAATACCGTATGACATGTTTTGTGTAGTGCAATGTGAAGTCGTTAAAAATAGATCCAATTGCTTTAAGCTTATTTAGAACTTGATTTATATAACGATTAAATAATAAACAATAAATAAGAACCAACATTTTTTTGTGATAAAAACTATATATTTTCATAAAAATAAGACAAAACTTAATACAAATTTTTCGCATATAGACTAATATATATTGAGTATATAACATGTCTTCACATATACAAATAAAGATAACAAATTAGATAGACAATTAAAAGCAAAAATTAAAAATAAACAAATATCTTTAAAACATGACTGAAACATGATGGTAAAAAAATACAAATAAAAAATTACTAACACAAAAGTACAGGGTGTCCATATAAACATATGGGAATTAAAACTTAAAAATTGTAATATTTTATTGTTGTTAATAAATCTGGACAAATTTCTCATTATCTCTTTATCTCAATTTTGAAGATGTAAAAATGATCGACCACATTTTGGAAAGCCCGAGGCCAGTAGTTTTTCGGTGTTTTAACTGAGATACTACTTAAACTGTGTTTTATAAATAATAATACCGCGGGAAAAAAGAAGATATAGAAGTCGTTATTTAATTCCCATGTTTATTGAGACACCCTGTATGAATAACAAAATAATTAAACAACATTCCACAAAAACTGCAAACTTGGGTATCGAGACATCTTTAAACAATGAATGTCATCCACGTTCTACGCCAATTTTCTATGTCATAATAAACACACCACACATCAATGTCATCAAATAAGGTAGCTTTCCTGAACCCTTTTAAGAACTAGCCTACTATAGGCCCCTCTTTAACCTTGAGAACAGTTCACTTACGAACTTGTTTGCACTCACTTTTAGATTTATCGCATGTAGATGTAGAACTCGAGTAGGCGTATACAAAAATCTAAACACTGAAAAGGCTTTTTGAAAATATCTTCGAAATGGAAGCCCGACCTTTTAGTTTCTTAACTCCAATCATGAAATGCAGTCATTTAATTGGCGAATTGGATTCGTAATTTTTTCCAGCGCTTCATGTGGCGTTTTTATCGATTTATTTCGAAACTGAGGAGTAATAAAGAAAGCTTTAACAATATTCACCATAGGTTCATCAACAGAGGTCAGTATGGTCTTATTTCTATCTAAGAAATAAACGGTTTTATGTTAAATTTTTTATTTCTGATTACCAATTGAGGAGCCCGCATACCGCAAAACACGTTTAGGTGGCGGTGATTACAAATTGAGGACTTCTGCACTCCCATCCTGACCACATTTTCTTTAACTTACTTTTAGTTACCTTCCGCTCTGTTTGGCCGATTTTCAATGAAAAGTTTGAAATTTTAAAGGTTTACACTATCAGGTTGCAATGATATAGATATTAGAAAATTTGCGGGAAAGACTTAACTCCTTATAAACCAGAAGCATATGTAGCTTTAGTTAGGTTTAGCGAAAATTGTTCTACATCATTAACCAATGAGACATAAACTTCTAAATCATTGAATGGTAAATCAAGGTTCTGCAATCTGGATTGGAAATTGCGAAACCAAGAAAGTTTGGATCATTTGTTTTAGGTAAAATAATTTAGCAAATATCAATGAGCGGAATCGCGACTTATCATTCCACAGAACACGGGTCAAGGATCTGGGCCCTGATCTATTATTTTACAGAACGGGTCAAGGATTTGGGCTCGGATCTTTTATTCTACAGAACGCGTCAAGGATCTGGACCCAGATCTATTATTCTACAGATGAGGTCAAGGATCTGAACCCGGATTTTTTATTCTACTGAATCAGTCAAGGATCTGTGCCCGGATCAATTATTCTAAAGAACGGGTCAAGGATCTGGGCCCGGATCTTTTATTCTACAGAATGGGTCAAGGATCTGGACCCAGATCTATCATTCTACAGATGGGGTCAAGGATCTGAACCCGGATCTTTTAATCTACAGAATCAGTCAAGGATCTGTGCCTGGATCAATTATTCTAAAGAACGGGTCAAGGATCTGGGCCCGGATCAATTATTCTAAAGAACGGGTCAAGGATCTGGGCTCGGATCTATTATTCTACAGAATGGGTCAAGGATCTGTGCCCGGATCTTTTATTCTACAGAATGGGTAAAGGATCTGGACCCAGATCTATTATTCTACAGATGGGGTCAAGGATCTGTGCCCGGATCTTTTAGTCTACAGAATCAGTAAGGATCTGTGCCCGGATCTTTTATCTACAGAATGGGTCAAGGATCTGTGCCCGGATCTTTTATTCTATAGAATGGGTCAATGATCTGGGCCCGGATCTTTTATTCTACAGAATGGGTCAAGGATCTGGGCCCGGATCTTTTATTCTACAGAACGGGTCAAGGATCTGGGCCCGGATCTTTCATTCTATTAAACAGGTCAAGGATCTGGATCCGGATACAAAATTTAATATTGTTATATTTTAAAAAAATAACAAATATTCTGAACAATAAACGACTTCAAAATATTGTCAAATTAAAAGCAAATAAACACACAGAAAGAAATTTTTTACTGTTTAAAAAAATAAAAAGGGTATTTTACATCAGCAATTATAAAGTTCATAGGTTCATAGGTTCATAAAGGTTCATAAGTTCATAGGTTCATAGGTTCATATACCTGAATACACCAATTAAAAACAGAAAAAAGAAATTAAACAGAAAAAAGCAACATGAAAAAAGTCGACGAAATAACAATTCAAGTCAAAAAATATTACTTAGCGATTTATTATTATCAAATCAATCTTTTTATCTAGTCTTCTAATCTCCGAGAAAATCGTCCAACCAGTCCTCTAGACCTTTGTTCTCCTCCTCCTTTAGTATACTGACAGGAACAATACCAGGAGCTGGGTTGGGGTTCATCTCGCCAGCTCCAGGTTCAAGTGTTGAAGGTTTATCCAGAGATTCTAAGAAGTCAAGATCTGCTTTATCTTGATCAGGATCCGGGACAGCAGGTTTCAAAGGTTTCTTCTCCCGTTTCCTTCTCTGCTCGAGAGGTTCAGATATCACAGTTGCTGCAACCTGAAATACAAACTAAAAGTTGATCCGACCTTCACCACAATGATCAATTCATTTTATAAGATTAAGTGATTTTTTTCTTTCCTAAAAAGTTTAAGTTCAACCAAATTTTTCATAATTGATTGCAAATATCTAACTTTGCTAAAATTTCTAGAAGTTTAGTCCCATTATTCTAGTCCAATGATAATATCAGATTTTTAAAGTTTGTTATATAAATAGGAAGATTGGAATCGGGAAGCCTTTTTGACATAATTTAAGATAAGGAATTATTTTAATTTCGGAAATCTTTCAATCCTTAAATTTAGACATCCGCGACGAGCAAAATAATTCTGAAAATTGTTAAAAAATTATAATGTATGAGAAGTAAACAAGTTTTTGTATGAATAAAATTTTCAACAAAACCTTTTTATCTGGGCTGGACTCCTCGGTCTGGTTGTGAACTAGAGGAGATGGAGTAGAACCAGTTTTCGTATCAACAGGAGTAGCAGAACCGGTTTTGATGTCAACAGGAAAAGTAGAACCTGTTTTTATATCTAAACGTGGAGTAGAACTGGTTTTTATATCAGTATTAACTGATTTAGTAGGATTAGGCACAGGATTACCTGGGGACTTCGGTTCTTTAAGAATCCTGATACAGTTCCAACATTAATAAAATTGCCAATTTAAAAACTAAAATTTTAGGTATGTTTTTTTCAATGAAAATATGATGAACAATTAGGAAAAGTCTACAGAGCATAATTGAGTATTGAGTGAAGACAGTAGCAATTACGACTTTCAATAAAAACAAACGTTTGTATTTTAAAAATTGTTCGTTTTGCCAAAAGGTTGCAAATACTAAAATCAAAACAATTAAACTGAACTAAAACTGTTATGATTCGTAGCAAACCATTTTGTTCTTTTTGTGGATTTTTACGCGGTCAGAAACTCCTCATCAATTATGTAAACCTAACCTCCTAAATATATTTGGCTTGTCTCTTGGTTTGTTTGTATCCAAGAACCCCGCCAATTAGAATTTAAAAAAATAATGAATCTATGAAAACAGAGATGAAAACTTTAGAATGTGATATCCTTAATCCCGATCTGTTAATTAATCTGGAGATTAAGTTCATGAGGAGTATAAGCAATATTTAATCTGGAGATTAAGAAAAAGAGTGGATTAAGCATTTATCCTGATATCCACCATTCTAAAGTTTTAATTTTATGATATACGATAAAAAAGGCGATTTAAAGAACAAGATTTTTAAACTTCAACTATTACTAAAAAAAGTGTCCCTAAAAGCGTTATTGCTTTAGTACTTGAACAGTCTAAGAAAAATGTAGTGCAGGAATCCCTAAGAATTGGATCAAAATCTGCAGGTTTTACAGATTCCTGCGCTTTTCTCTTGAAAGTGTCAAGTGTATCCTGGTCCAACAAATCCTAAAAAATGTTTAATTTTCATTTAATACTAATTTTTATATTTCTACAAATACAAGCACTTGGGATTTAATAAAGTTTAGGGGTTGTTAAACTGCCTACCGCTGCGCCATTTAAATTTGAATCTCCTATTCAAATCCTTTCTTAACCTTTAACTTTGAACCATTGTTTATTTGAATCGGCTGTAGGTAGTTCAGCAACCTAGATAAAATTCAGTCCCTGCACTGGTCTAACAAATTCTAGGAAATGTTTAATATTTATACAATATTTGTAGCTGAGACCAACTGCCTACCGATATGGTTCAAATTTAAATGACGGACTAAAATCCTTTCTTAAACTTTAACTTTGAATCGGCGGTTTAAATTTGAACCGGTAGTAGGAAGTTCAGCGAAGTAGCTAAAATTCATAAAATTCGGTCCCACGTCTAACAATTTTTAGAAAACTTTGATATTTATTAAATATTTCTGGCTAAAACCAATATTAAAAATGGTCAGGGGCGTATTCAGGAATTTGTCCAGGGGGGCTTAAAAAAGTGTTCTTTCCAGGTGGGGAGACTCAGCACCCATTGGGGCATGAAAATCCCCTGAAACTCTGATGATTTTATCTACCTGGTCCAGTCCTATCTGCTGATGCAAAGGAATACATTTTATTAAACTATCTAGACTAGTTAAGTCAAGGCTAAAGAACTCTTTTGATAACTCCGTAGAACCTAGAATAAAATTTTCTTATTGTAACTCCAAAAATCAAATAATTTTGGGTTATCCATGTTCCTTACATCTCTCAGAAGATAAGAAACCAGGATAAAAATTCTCTAATATAAATTTTAAAAACATCACCTGCAGTATCCCAGTCCTGTTCTCCTTTCAGCCTTATATGAGATTCTGCTCGGTTTCCGGAGTTTAGGGCAAAATTCCAATCCTGTCCTGTCAACCCGTCCTTAACATTACAAAGGTTTAATTTAAGAAAGGATGATTCCATTTGTCTTTGTCCGTTCCATTAAGGTGTTATCAGCCCATTTCCGTTCAGTAGAAGATGTATTAATTTTCAGTTCTATTAAGAAATCCGTTCTACATGGGTGTCCTTTCTTAAAGTAAATCAAAATTTGACAAAACAGGGAAGAGAAATAACAGAGTGAAGTGAAAAAGTGAATAGGTGAGAAAGGAGAAAAGATGAAAGAAAAAAAATGTTATCCCAGAAAATCACAGAACAGGAGGAAAATTGAAATCAGTTCGAATTTTTTGTAAAAAACCAAAAAAAGGAAAACGAATTCAATTTTACTTGAATTTTCTTCCCTCTTCTTTCTGAAAAACCGAAAGAGGAATGAAGATTTAATTTGAATTGAATTTATTTCCTTGAAAGTAAGAAAATTCAGTTTGAAATTTCTTCCTCGAATGTATCCCGGAAAATCAAAAAAAGGAAAAAATTTAATAGGATTAATTGTCTTCCCCAAAAGGTCCCAATAATCTTAGATACAATTGCGGGGGGCTATGCACCCTTGACCCCCCCCCCGCAGTTTCTCCCCTTAGGGATACAAACAAGCGCTACCAAATAAACAATAAACATGGAAGAAAATTAAACTAACTTTATAACCTTTGATAAAAGGAAAATTGTTTCATGTGTGGTGTATAAACAAAATCTTGGAGAATAAAATATAAATAAAAACAAACCTCTTCTTCGTCCTCTTCACTTTCCACTTCATACCTTAATTAATTATTCGAGTATTAAATTAAGATTGTGTATATACAGTACTCGCAGTACACAATTAAGTACAACAGTCCTTAACGCTTTGTGAGATGTCACATGGATGCCACATTATATCATACAACTTTTTTTACTTTGCAGTTGTGTACAGTGTACACCTTCGCATTTATCAATTTATATGAAATTGAATTAATTTCGATTTTCCAGAAAAGGAAGAAAAACAAAAACAAAAATAGCTTCGTACAAAGAAGGTTTAACTGAAAATATCCAAGAAAAGTTAGAAAAGTTAAATTTAATTTGAAAAGTGATTTATATTTGATAATATTAGAATTAAATACCTTGTCCAATTACTAGATATATTGCGTTTCCATCTATTCTCTTCTTCTATATCCGTCCTAAAATTAATAACTTTACAACATTACTAGCTTGGGAACCCAACTTTGCGTGTTTTTAAACTTGCCAGAGTAGACTACTAACAAATTTCGCCAAAAACTCTGATTTTCTAATACCTATATCATTGCAACCCAATTTTGTAGACCTTCGATATAACTATAAATTATGTTAGATCAAACAATAAAAGTTGTAAATATCAAAGACTTACACCACCAAGTTGCAAAGATATAGGGATTAGAAAATTTGTGCTTGTGGCAGACTCAATTCTTTTTGTTTAACCAAGCCAAGAACAATTCCTTAGATTTTCCGGGTGTGTTTTTTTCTTTTAATACTTTGTACACGAAAAAGTGATTAAAAATTATTTAATTAAAGACCCTGTACTTCTGTTCTAAAACTACCCATAGAAATCAAGCATGTTAAACTTTATCGGTGACAATGTCTATTGTAATTTGATGTTTTTTCCTAGCATATTCTCTTGGATCATTTCCTAGTATATTCTCTTGTATCATTTCCTAATATATTCTCTTGTATCATTTCCTAGTATATTCTCTTGTATCTTTCCTAGTATATTCTCTTGTATCCATTTCCTAGTATATTGTCTTGTATTATTTTCTAGTATATTCTCTTGTATCATTTCCTAGTATATTGTCTTGTATCATTTCCTAGTATATTCTCTTGTATCATTTCCTAGTATATTGTCTTGTATCATTTCCTAGTATGTTGTCTTGTATTATTTTCTAGTATATTCTCTTGTATTATTTCCTAGTATATTCTCTTGTATCATTTTCTAGTATATTCTTTTGTATCATTACCTAGTATATTCTCTTGTATCATTTCCTAGTATATTCTCTTGTATCCATTTCCTAGTATATTGTCTTGTATTATTTTCTAGTATATTCTCTTGTATCTATCATTTCCTAGTATATTGTCTTGTATCATTTCCTAGTATATTGTCTTGTATTATTTTCTAGTATATTCTCTTGTATTATTTCCTAGTATATTCTCTTGTATCATTTTCTAGTATATTCTCTTGTATCATTTCCTAGTTCTCTTGTATCATTTCCTAGTATATTCTCTTGTATCATTTCCTAGTATATTCTCTTAAATCATTTCCTAGTATATTCTCTTGTATCATTTTGTTAATTTCTTCTAAGTATTATTTACAAAATTTACAAAATGAAGTGTGTAACTGAACTGTCTACTGTGCAATGAAGGTTTCATAAATAAAATCTAGATCAGGTTATAAATTCTTTAAAAATACCTTGCAGCCATAAAGCGTTGATTTGCCTCAGTAACTAGTTTCTTTCCATCCTCTCTTACACCTAAGATTATATCTATTTATAAATCGTCAGCAACCTCTAAAGGCCACAGACAACCACCCTTCAGGCAATCCCGTTTGCATACTATTATATACGGCCAGGACAGGGAATAAGAATAAAGGGAAGGGAAATGGCGCTGGTCTGGCATGGGAAAGCCAGTTGCACTGCTTTGCAGACAAGTTCGTTATCACACACGCACACTCATTTGGTACAGACATACAACATGACTACAGTCAAGGAAATTGCAGAACAATGTCGTCAATTAAAATTAAGCTTGAATAACGAGTAGTTAATTGTAAACTTTAATCAAATTATTTTCTTTGCCTGAATTTTTACTTAAAGTGTTGACTTAAATATGTAAATAATATACTACATGTATATTAAACTTATTCTTAAGTAAACAATGAACAACAAAAAAATGTACTATCCTAGACTGTATACAAATACCGAGATTCTAATGTACTGTATATACCTACAGTACACGCCTTTGGTTTGTTATCACACGCACTCTTTTGGTACCAGGGATTAGGTCGATAACTAATCTCCTGTTCCACTAGGCATAACACCTTATAACAGGGTGGAAGGGGTAACTTGTTCAGAAGAAGTATAAATAACAAAATCAATTCTTCAAAACTGTATTTATTAGGAATTCATAAATTGACGGTAGAGGGCTACGTAGGAGTGTTACGGGAATGAATAATGTTCTTTCAATTAATCAAAATTGCATTTTTAATTATTAACCATCGTCTAAACTCATTGGGGGTTTATATTCTTTTTTTAAAAAAAACTATGAGGGGAGAATCTGAGAAATAAAGACGTAAAATTGTAGGTTTTTCATCATTTAGTGAAAATAATTTTCCAACGAAAAATTCTATTGTTTTCCGAAAAAAAGAATTAGCAATGAAAAATATGAAACAAATCATTTAAACTAGGTTCAAAAAGCATAAAATTGATTTGAACAAGCAGTGTCCTTTCTATTAACTCTGTTCTAGATCATAAGTTACACATAGTTTATTTTATTTTTCTCCCACTAAGAATACTTTGGACTTGAATACTTTGGACTTGTTTAAAAAAAATTTGAAAAACACATAAAAAATAAACCGAGAAGTATTAAAATACAAAAGTTTAAGAAGCTAAAACAATATTTAATCAACGTTCCAATAAAATTTTCGACAGTAATTTAGATAACCAGGGTTATCCACAAAGAATGAGATTTCCTAAAGAACTGATGAAGTGAATTTATACTTTTGATACTTTATATTCATGATTCCCTGCTACTGAAAAAATTGGTTTTCTCTTTAACAAACCATTAAAATACAATATTTAACACAAAACACTTTTAAACTTGGGATCCTCATTATTTAAGAGTTTTAATTCGCCTTTACAGTCTCATCTGTTGTGGGTAACTAGTGAAATCAGATTATTTAACTGTCTGTCTGCTTGTTTGTATATCATAACTCAGAAACTTATTGACCAATTTGCCTCAAATTTTAATTAGGTGTGGTATTGATAGAACCACGAAACTGCTTGTTTTTAAATTTGAAATTGAGTGGTTTTGACTTTAAATCGAAAATTCTATTTCAAAACAGAGCTGGTTTATCAAGATAGTTTAAAGTAAAAATTCTAAAATAGATACATTTGTCCATATTACATATTAGTAGCTTAAATAGATATCTAGCAAGGTCTGATAATATATATATTCCAATTTCAAGTAAAGTGAATTACAGATCGATATCGAGTATCTGCTGTTAATTAAACTTAAAAAAAATATAGTGAATAAAAATTAAACCAAATTTGATTAACTGTCATCTAATAAAGAGGTTTGATTGAACATTGATCCTACAATTAAGTTTCTACAATTCAGAAAATCCGCAAGTTCTGTTTAAGAAATCCGTAACTATTTGTTTTCCAGTAGCAACAATGAACCACTTCAAAATATTCTCATTGTTTTCAGTTTTGGCAGCTGTTGTATTTCTCGTGCTGGGAATAGTTCTCATCGTCACCTTTGTCCTAAACTCTTCATACCTTGAATGGGAACTGGCAGAGGCTTCAAATTTTGATAATTGGGGAGTTTATATTATCATTGCTGGAATAATTTCGCTTTGTTACGCAGTTCTCAACATTTATGAAATTATTACTCTAACCGCATTAAAAAGCGGTGCCAAGAACGCAATAGTTGCAGAGATGATCTACATTCTTGGACTAAAGAAGGAGAAAGTAAGACCGCAGGTTGAGGGCGGTGACATTGTAATTCCCGATGTAGAGGTAATGTCAGTAAGAACCAAATCCGATGATTCAATATTTGGACTTGGATACGATGCTCACAACAGGTGGACTTTCTCAGGCAGAAAGGCAACGCCTCATACCCCAAAGGTAAATTTGTTTTTGTAATTTCAATGCTTTAATTTCTTATTTAAAAGATAAAATATCATTAGTTACTATTTGCAGAATATGGAAACTTGTTGAACGAGTTAAACAGAAGCAGATTGTCTCAGACGTCATTAGTAATAAAATATTTAATTTTTGTAAATAATAGTTTTTTATATCAATATATTATTTTCTTTACTTAATCTCAGCACAACGTTAATAAAAGATATTTATACATTACTTTTCAATTTTCTATATTAAATTTTTATTACAGGGAATGTACTCGTAATTTAAAGTAATCCTCAATTTGTAACTGTCCTTAGTTTCACACTTTTTATCAACTTAGAAGAACAACGATTTCTTCCACATTACTGATCGATCTATCTGTTACTTTTTTAAAAGATAAATACCAAGAAAACTAATCTTATTCCAGATATCTGTTAATACTGAATGGTTATTAGTTAACAACGAATTGAATTTAGAAGGATATAGAACTATGCAGGGTAACCCAAAAAGTATGATCGAGACTTTAACGATAACCTTCAGGTTGAAATTGGTCTGCTGCCTTTAAAAAATTGTCCAAATAAAATTTGATGATGAAGAAAACCTTTTATTCAAGAAAAAGAACTGAATAAGTTCACACTAGTCATCTCTAAAGTCCCATCCTTTAGCGGTAAAGCTGTATCAACAGAGTTTATATTTTTTCATTTCTTTAAACAACTCAAAAAAGTAGTTGTGACAAAAAATACAATGGTAGGCGATTATATTTATAACAATGAAGACGACTTTTTTATTTCAGTTTATATTATTAACAAGTTTTTTACGAATTACAAGTTTGTAAGTAATCAAATCCTTTTTTAATGTACAACTTCTATGCTTATGTTTATCCATGCTGTTTTACAGTTTGATATAAATCAAAATTGAAATCGATAGTCGTCTTCATTTATATGACGTATTGATATAATCGCCTACCACTGTATGAGGTCTAGGAAAAAAATTAGACCTGTACAATATTGTATACCTGTAGATTAGAATATTATCTAAATGTAGAATTTTATGCGAATGTATTTGTAAAATACTATAAACCTATATAACATTATCTACCTGTACACTATTATCTACCTATATAACATTATCTACCTTATAATATTAGGTACTTGTAGAATATTATCTACCTGTAAATTTTATCTACTTTCACTTGAATATGATCTACCTGTAAAATATGAATATACACTGCAAACTAACCAGAAGGAAAATGTCAAATTCAATTGACATTACTGTCACAGCTTTGTGACTCCGTTGCTCCTCTAGTTCTGATTTTACGCACATGTGTCAGAAAAGCTAATTTATTCGGTTACATAATACATACATTATAAATTCAAAACATTTTTGTTCTTTTCAATATCTCTTCTATAACAGAAGATATGATCAAAAATATATAATTTGTCAATCTTACTTGAATTTTACTTTAGTTTGACGTGATATAATGTACCTGTAAAATTGGCTGGAAGTGAATCTACAGGATCTATTATCTCAGAGCCTGGAATTATAAAAAATATGATTTTTATTAACTTTCTCTGTTTAATTTTTAATTCACGACATTTTTGGTATAATAACTCTTAATTGAAATAGGTTAACACTAAGGATACTTTCAGACTCAATAACGTGTTGTTCACAAAGGTGCAAGGTGGGCCAAGTAGGTAGATGCACCCCCCCCCCAGCCCATTATCCCTCTTGAAAATGAAGATAATCAAATTAGTTTTCCAAATCATTAGCACTGACTTAATTTCAAATCATAAATCTTACGTGGAAGCCGACCTGTGGGTTTAGGTTCTGAAGCTTGGCCTGGTTTCTCTTGTTTGTCTTTACGAATTCTTGATTCATCTGTCTGTTTTCTTCTTCTTTCAATCTCAGGGTTGTTTTTAGGTTCCTCGGCTTTTTTCTTTCTTTCATATTCTCTTTTATTTTTCTTGTCTGGCTTTACCATTTTGGTCTGAAACTATATTTAGTTTTTAACAAAATACAATTTTATTCTTTTTCTCGACTTATTTATTTTATTCTTTATTTATTATCTTTACTTGAATATTTATTTGAATAGGACACGCTCTTTGGTCCCAAGAGGACTTTCTTTTTAGTCCCAAAAGACACACACTTTGGTCCCAAGAGGACATAATTTTTTCTTGTCCCAAAAGGACACACTTTTTGGTTCCAAGAGTACAACATTTTTTCTTGTCCCAAGAATTGGACACGCCCGTTCCAAGAGGACTTGTTTTTTCGTCCCAAGAGAACATTACTCTTTGGTCCCAAGAGGACACAATCTGATCTTGCCCAAAGTGAACTCACTCTTTGGTTCCAAGAGGACAACATTTTTTCTTGTCCCAAGGAAACCTAACTTTCCTTGTCCCAAGAGGATTTTTGTTTGTTCCCAAGAGGTCAAAGCGTATTGTCCCAATAGAACATAACTTTCATCAAGATACAGATTATATTTCGAAGAAATATATAAATCAAGATACTTTACATTGAAGTATCTCTATTTCTTTGTATAGAATTAATAATCATTTTTACATAATTTGTTTAGTTATTAAGATGCAGAATGTATTTCAAACAATGATGAAATATATTTTCCATAGAATTTTCCGAATGTTTTCGATGGAAATCTTTAAGCCCCTGACGGCGGCGTTTAAATGTCTTCCTAAATAATCTCTCAAGAGACTCCACATGAATCCCCAAATGGTCTCCGATGAAATCCTTCAAGTGTCTCCGATAGAAGTGAGAAGGGTTTTAAGTAATGTTCCCGGAGCCCCGGGATTCTCTTCAATATGTTCAGCAGCGTGTATTTCCATTTCTAAATAAAACCATATCTATTGTAAAGAGGAGACCTTTCATTTGATAAGAGGCAAAACTAATTAAAAAACATTATCTAATAATAAATGTGTGACACGGAAACGCCTCAACACGGAAACGGATCTAAAATTACTTTTGTGGAATTTCTGTTTTTTTTTCAGAAATTCGAGGAAATTCCTTTGAAAGTTCAGAATTGTTGAGGGATTTCGAAATATGTTGTATCTGTTTCCCAATATTTATAGTTGAATGGTTTCCTCTTTATGTTAGGTCGGTTTCCTCATATTTTTAGGTCCGTTTCCTCGAATTTTTGATCCGTTTCCGCGTTTTACAAAAACCTTAAAAATCTCAATTTGTTGATTGGTATCCTCAAATTTTAGGTTCGTTTCCTAATATTTTGAATCCGTTTCTACTTTTTCAAAAACTTTTAAAATCTCAATTTGTTTTTGCTTTTTAATGTTCCTTCTAAAGAAAAACTATTTTCTATATTCTTTTGTCTAAAAAGCTTTTGATCCTGCATTTTTTTAAATTTTCAACTTCATAAAGTTATTATAGGTCGGAAAATATAGTTTTCTATCATGGTCTTCAATGCAAGAAGTAAAGACTTTTTAGTGCATTTTTTTTACTCTGTTTCCATGTTAAAAAAAAATAAAAGTATTTTTCATATTTTGGTTTGTTATGAAAAATGTACGAATTGCAGAGAATGACTAGAATTTGCAAAATTAAAATAACAATTTTTTTTTATTACGGGCAACGCCGGGCACTTCAGCTAGTAGTTTATTTATTTCAATGCTTTGTGGATCATTTATTTTGCCGTCTGAGAGGTCTCCTGACAACTGCAGAAAAAAATATGTTGTTATGTTTTTTTAATTTAAACTGAAAAACTTATGAAATAATGAGGTTGTTTGTATTCTTAAAAATCTGGAAGACACTTTTTAGGTACAGATTTTTGGGATTTCAGAACACATTGCTTATGGATAATCAAAAGGTATTTTATGTAGAGTTAATTTGAAAAAAATAGTTTTTCTGTAATTGTAAAAGCACAATATCTTTTATTGGAGACCAAAATGCAGGGCATGGAGAAAGAAGAGCGAAGGCTTGGAGACAGTTTTGCGGGGCTTGGGAGATAACTCAGGAGGCTCTGAGGGTCATTGTGACCCTAAACACTCTCTCTCTTTTAAAAGTTTGATTTAAACCCAAGAATGGATGAAAACTAAGCGAGATGAGAGAAAATTGATAAATAGTAGATTTTTATAGTTCTTTTAAAAAGCGGAAACTGAACAACATATTGAAATTTAAGTTTTTTTTTTAAACGGAAACGTATAAAAATTTTAGGAAACGGACCTAAAATTTGAGGAAACCGATCAACAAATTAAGACTTTTAAGGTTTTTGAAAAAAAGTGGAAACGGATCAAAAATATTAGGAAACGGACCTAAAATTTGAGAAAAACGATCAATAATTTGAGATTTTTTAAAGCTTTTGAAAAAAAGCGGAAACGAATAAAAATATGAGGAAACGTACCTAACATTTGAGGAAACAGATCAATTTTAAAGATTTTGAAAAAAGCGGAAATGGGTTAAAACATGAGGAAACGGACCAAAAATTTGAGATAACCAATCAACAAATTGAGATTCAAAAAGCTTTATAAAAATGCGGAAACTTATCAAAAATATGAGGAAATGGACCAAAAATATTGGGAATCCCCACAAAATCCCTCGAAAATATTCCATTGAAACAAAGCGGAAATGGATCTAAACTTTTAGCAAATCGAACAAAAAAAGAGGAAGTTCCTTAAAATCTGACTTTTGAGGGATTTCCGAGAAATTCGGAGAAAACGTGGAAATGAATAAAAATTAAGTTTAAATTGATTGATTTCCACTTATTTTAGAATAGTTTCCGTGTTGAGGCGTTTCCATGTACCAATAAATGTGTTTTCAACCTTGAAAAATTATTAATTTTGTCAATTTTCTTCATTATTATTTCTCTATTGGAAATATAACTTTTTTTACAAAAAAACAATTGAAATGTTTCATTTATGAGAGCAATGAATATTGCTTATTAAATTCATTCTTGATCCTGTAACACTTTTGAGGTTACCGCGCTATGAATCGGATATGCAACTTTTAAATTCCTTAAAGGGAGTGTTCGCGAAACATGAAAGGGGGTATAGGCTTACGGCGAAAAATAAGCGCTTTTGATCGCTACTAATCTTACTTCTATCTGTTGAGCCTATAGGGAGAAAATTGTTACTAACGACTTGTACCGAACAACGTAGCGTCCATGAAAGTGATTATACACTATTTTTTCATTTTGAGCGTCCATCCAAATTCAGAAAGTTGCAACATACGACTCGGATCTTAAAAAGATCAATTTAATTTCAAAGAAATCATTCAGATACTACAACCTGTAGTCATCGATCATTTTTAACGCATTTATATATAGTTGGACATTTTATAATATTTTTTATTTTGTTTTTTTAAAATAATATTAGCTTACAACTTGTTTTCTAACATTCCTGGAAAATATAAAAATGTCGTCTGCATTACCAAAAATCCTTGAAACGGGAATAAATGTTTTCAAAAGTAACTCTCAGAATAAAAATATTATAAAAAATCAACTGTTTACAAATGCGTCGAAAAATAATCGATGACTATAGGTTGTAATATCCGAATGATTTATTTGAAATTAAATTGATTTCGTTACGATCCGAGTCGTATGTTGCAACTTTCTGAATTTAAATGGTTCTGAATTTCTGAATTTAAAAGTATTAACAATTTTCTCCTTATAGACGCAACAAATAGAAGCAAGATTAGTAGCGATCAAAAGCACTTATTTTTCGACGTCAGCCTATACCCCCTTTCATTTTTCGCAAACAATCCCTTTAAGGTTGTATATTTACTTTTTCTAGTTGGGAAGAGAGTTCCACAGATCGTGCAGGAGAATATTCCTTTATCACTACTCCGTCCTTCCGTGTGAGATCGTACATGTCTAAATAATAAATATTCTTCATTTTTAACTTAGTTCTCAAGAGATTTCTTCCCCTCCTAGAATATAAATTTTAATTCCTTGTGCTTACTTTTGATATTGGGGTCATTTAATTCACACAAATGTATCAACAGTTTTTACTTTCCCTTAAAGATCCAAACAATCGTTAATCTCTGTTTTATAAAATATGGTAATACTAGCTGAGGTACCCGGCGTTGCCCATGTTTTAAGACAACTTCGACATTCTGGTTAGCCTACATCACGATCATCCCTACACTGGGGTACCTATGGTGTTGTTTAGGATTTCTAAAAAGGTTTTTTTTTCAATCTTGCGCTTTTATTAAACTATGCAAAATCTTTATTTTTTATCCTAAGAAAAAAATGAAAAAACGACCGTTACAACACTATCGTTTTTCTATCTTTTTTTTGCACAATCTTCTGTCAAAATTTGGTTGACATAGAAAAAAATGTTAAAATCAACAATTTCAAAACCATTTGCTTTTGTAACACTATGCCAAACTTTCATCCTGAGAGAAATTATGGGGGGGAAAAATGCAAAAACGAATCAACTGAATGCACATCCTCACCCATGGGGTTTCCAATAGGGTTATAATTGCTGGGAGGAGTGGATTTCTATGTACTTTCGTGGGGGACAGGAAGACATAATAGATAGACAGATAGATAGATATTAGATAGATAGATAGATATTATATAGATAGATATTAGATAGATATATATAGATATTAGATAGATATATAGATATTAGATAGATATATAGATATTAGATAGATAGATAGATAGATAAGAGCTGTATTATAGATGGTACCTGTGAAGATGAGAATTATGGGAGAACTGTTTATTACAAATCTGACAAGAATACGGCCGAACCCCGCTATGAACTCGAGAATGTACCTAAAACATAAATCTGTTTAATCATCTTGTTACTAATTTATTTTTCTGCTTTTGGAAAATGTACAATATAATTAACGATTTGTAGTTTAAAGACAGAAAAATCTGCAAACATTTTTATGGTTTTATTGCCGAATTCAAAAAGAAATATTTTTATTTTTTATCAAAATAAGTACTATAAAAAGAGTGTCTATTTGTCCACTGCACATTTTTTAATTTTACTGCCCATTTAAACATTTAAAATCCTGGTAAAATTATAAAACCAGTCCCACCTTTAAACCAGTCCCACCTTTAAACCAGTCCCACCTTTAAACCAGTCCCACCTTTAAGCCAGTCCCACCTTTAAACCAGTCCCACCTTTAAATCTCCTTTTTTAAAGAACTTTTTGTCACACTGATCACAGGAGTAGTTCTTGAGGTTCTGATGGACCCTTCTCACATGCTCCTGGAGAATAGATTGAACCTTGAACTGCCGAGGACACAGTTTACACTGGATATACTCCGGGTTACCATGAAACCTGCTCAGGTGTCGATCCAAGGATATTTTCCAGGAGAATTTCTCAGAACAAATGTAACATTCAAACTGTTTATCCTCGTTGGCGTGAACACCTAGAATAGTCAAAATATTCTTTTTTTTCGCCTTCAAAACAAGCGGCAACATAATCACTAAAATTAAACAAAATCTATCTCTTCTCAAATCAATATTCAGCAAAAAGCATATGTAACTTTTCAAGTATCGCGCTTACCTTGGTGGAATTTTAAGGATTTACTTCTGTCAAATTTTTTGTCGCATATTGTACAACTAAACTTGTTTTTACTAAATTCTCCAGGTTCAACAAGAACAGGATTATCCATTCCTTGATTCTCATCCTTCTCTTGGTTCTCATCTTTATCTTGTTTCTCATCCTTCTCTCGCGGTTTATCATTCCCTCTCTTTTCATCCTTCCCTCGCTTCTCATCCTTCTCTTGGTTCTCATTCTTCTCTTGGTTCTTCAATCGATGTTTATTAACCTCCTTTCTTCTTCCTTTACCCTCGGTATATTTCTCCAGTATCTTCTTTATACTGGAGATAACTTTGGACTTAGCGGCTAAATCATCTAGAAAAATAAAATCAATTCAAGTCAAATCAAATATAAAGCACTTTTAAAAATGGAAAATTGATGCAATCAATGTTATTGTTAAAGTACTTTTTATTTGTCAAAGATTAAATAAAAGTTCTTGACTAATAGTCAAATATAAATTCTAAAATTGCTGAAACAAATATTTTTTGTAAGAATTTTCCAACTTATTATTAAAATAAATATTTGCTTTTCACTATTGTTTTTTTTATACCTTTTTTGGTATTGAAAGGACTGCATATCGTCAGGTTGGGTTTAATAACCGAAGTCTCAATGTACTTGAGTTTCCCAGATTCTAGGTTAATTTGATTCCCGGGATACTCCGACCTAGGATAGGTTAAACCTGATCCTGAGTAAGATATAACATGAGCAGGTCTGGTTTCAACTCTGGCAGATAAATGTGGATTATTTAATAACCGTTTCTTGTCGATCAGTTCTGGATTCTCTAAAGTTATCTGAGACTGGGTTTCTGAATATATTTCTGACAGATTCATCCTTCCTTCTCTTCCTTTCCAATACATGCTTTTTACTTTTCCAACTTTTGATAATTGTTCTCTTTCCTCATCTACTCTAAACATGTTTTCTCCTTCCTCCTCCACAATTATCACATTTTCCCTTTCATTCTCCACAATCATCATTCCTTTTTCCTCCTCCACTTGCAATATGTTTCCTCTTTCCTCCCCCACTATCATAATTATTTCTCTTTCTCTCTGAACAATCTTTCCACTTTCATTCCTTATAATTTCCTCCTCATCTACCTCCTCATATTCCTCTTCATCTTCGTAATCGTCTTCTTCCTGAAAAGATCCTTCTGGATCACTCCCGTTATTTATAGCTTTCTCAATATATATAATAGTGCCCATATTCTTTTTTTCTTCCTCAATAGTTTTAAAACTAAGATCAGTCCCTCCTTTATTAGTAAATCCTTTAAACTGGGTTTGGTTTGGAGAAACATTTTCTCTTGATTTATTGTTAGACATTGGTAACCCTGGTAGAAGAATAGGATTTATGCTGTTACTCCAGGTAGTATCTCGAGCAGTAAGATTTAGAGACGATGTTGTAGTAACAGAGCGTTTCGTGTTCAGATTTACTTTATTTTGAGATGGCACTCTATCAAGATAATGTCCCTGAAAATGAAAAAAGTTAAATTTTATCGCAGCTTTTACTGGGACAAAAGAAATTATTACCTGTTCCACAAGAGCGTCATGTTCCGCATTTTCTGAAAGAATTGATAATTCCGCGGGAGGGAAAATTAATGTTACAGACTCTTGTAGAGATGACAGAATAAACGAAGGTTCCTGGTTGTAAGGAAGTATATAAGGAGATGTTTCTTCACCAGAGATAATAATTCCTACATTAGATTCTAGTTTATGCGGGGTTGTTGATAATTCATCATTATTACTAAACTGTTCAAGAACTGGTTTATCTTGATGCTTTGTAGATCCGTCCTCTGGCAAATTAGTCTTATATTCCAGGATTGGTGGATCGGTTTCTATACTAGAGGGAAAGGATGATGTTTCTTGGATTGATGAGTCTCTAGGTATCTGACTGCACTTATGATCTTCAAGCTGTGAGGCGGAGCTGAAGCTAAGTCCACAAACTAAACATGTTGCACTGTCACTGTGAAACAAAGCCGAGTGATGGGATAAATCAACTTTAAAATTAAAGGTTTTGCCGCAGATTTTACAATAAAACTTTCTAGATTCCCTGGGCGGAGCAGGCTCAGAGGTTGCACCATGAGCGGTTTTCTGATGCTCCCTTAATTGTTTAGAGCGAAGGAACTTACGATCACAGAGACAGCAGGAGAACATGAGGTTCAGGTTATGTGACTTCTTGTGTGCCACTAGAGTAGAGGACTGTGTAAACCTTTGACCACAGTCAGGACAAATATACGGTTTCTCTTTGGTATGAGTTCTTGTGTGTCTGTTTAAATTTGAAATATGTCCGAATGTTTTTTCACACTCAGTACAGGGAAATTTTTTAATACCTTTATGCGTGTTTAAATGTGCTTGATAGTCATTATTACGATAAAATTTCTTATCACAAATATCACAGGAAAAGTTGTATTTCTTTAAATGTACACTCTCCATGTGTGTTGTTAATACACACTTCCTGGTAAACCTTTTCTCACAGTATTCACAGACAAGCTCATGAGTTCTTTGATGGGCGTTGAATTGTTTGACAGATGAAGCAACAAGTCCACAACTTGTCTCTCCACAAACAAATAAAATATTCTTGTGAGTTTTCATGTGTCCCATCAGACTAGGTTTAGAGGTAAACACTTTCTCACATACTCTACAGTTATTTGTATCGTTCGTTTCCTAGGGATAGACTAATATCAATCATTAATTCGAAATTAACAAATGAAAATAAAATAGTTTACATTTTGTTCCATTAAAAATAAAAGCATAAAACAAAAAAGTCATTCTAGCGCTAGATATCAAATTACCTCTAGGTGCTTTTTTTCAATATTAAAAAAGGAACTTTAAATCTCAAATTAAACAAATATAAAAAAAATATTCACGTAAAGGTGCATATTTATAAAGATAGGCGAAGACAGGGAAAAGAAATGAAGGGAATACTGATAAATCGTAGAATTAGATTAAAAGTGTTTTGTACAAATTTGTATTAATGTGACAACTTATATTAGAAAAAAATTACGTTCTAGTTTTAAGTAATGAAAATACATTTTTCGTATTTAAGCACGATAATGACGTTTTAAAAAATTCAAATACCATTGTGAATAAATAAAAATAATGTTAAAAACTTAATTTAACGATGTGAATCAATAAGATAAATTCGTTAGAAATAATTTTACATCATTTTCAAAGAACATAAAACATATTCAGAATGTTGGTTTTCACTAAATATATTTAGATCTAGGTTTGGTTTGAACTTTTTCATTCATCAATTTTCAATGCTTAATTACTTTACACAAAATTAATTTTCATGTTTATTTTTACACACTCTACCTTCTTCGGCATAACAACCATCATCTTGTTTACTAACCCGGAATCCATTCTAGATCTGAAAATTTATTTTTCACTTAGTTTTTTTCAGATTTATTTTAATTTCCGTAAACAACTGTACAGGTTATATTAAATTATAAAAAATCACAGCCAAATGTTGGAATAGGGAGTTATGAGAGGGGGCGGGAGCGGTTTTGTTAAAAATTGTCTTAAATACATCCAAATAACAAAATGGAGAATCCGGAATTCAAGTTCTCATGGCGAGCATAGTGTTGATCTCCCAGATAGTATTACGCATCTGATCAATAATATCCTTGAGGTGTCTGTTCTTCAGAACTATCTGCTGTATCAGTTCGTTATGTTCCTGAAAAAAAAATATTTAAAACAAAACCACAAAATGCCCAAAACCACCTTACACCAGTTTCAAAGCTTTTTTGGATACAGATTTTAAAAATCTTATCAAATTTTAAAACTCAGTCAAATTTATGCTTTTATCATTAATTCAAATCAGAAAAACAATTATCAAAATTAATTAAGATGCAAATCAAAATATCTGTCTTGGAACACTGAGTTCAGAAACGTTAAACTTGTTAAAATCGGTGCTATGGAAACGCCTCAACACGGAAACGTCTCAACGCGGAAATGCCTCAAAAACCGGTTTTGAGGAATTTCCGTTTTTTTTTTCCTCAAAATAAAGAGGAAACCCCTCAAAAACTGGGTTTTGAGGGATTTCCGTTTTTCTTGCAGAAATTGCGGAAACGTCTCAAAAAAACCGGTTTTTGAGGGGTTTCCGCTTTTTTTTGAGGCATTTCCGTGTTGAGACGTTTCCGTGTTGAGGCGTTTCCATAGCACCTTAAAATCCCCTTAAAAATAAATCAAATTATAAGCACACACGCGGTTTTTGGAAAGATATTTGTTTAAGACTAGTTTCAAACAATTTTAAAATATCGAAAAGCGGACGATATTCATTATAAAAGTTTCAATTTGCATCTTTTGATAAATCAACATTCAACATGTTTTTAAAAAATTGAAAAATCGACCTTTCCACATGATTTATTTTTTAAGTCATTAAGCACGGAATGAGTTCCGATTTTTCTGATCTTTTCTTTTATCAGTGCCCCTTTTAACTTGCTGGTGCAAAAATGATTTCACACTTTCGATGAAATAGTTTAACACTTAAAGCTAGATGAATCTTAAACCCAAGAAAATCTGCACTAGTAAAAATAAATTAGTAAATCAAACAAGAAAAAAATCAAATCAAATTAGATCGAATATGATAATGATAAAAAATGTTTATCAAATCAGACAAATTTTACCTCCAGTGCGGATTTATAAGATTCTCCTCTCTTCTTCTCTAGATCTGATCTATTCTGTTCCTGTTCATCTCTCATCTTAACAATTTAGTGGGTCAGAAATTAGCGACCCACGCCCCCCTTCTTTTTGGAAAATATCTCATTATTATTATTATTATTATTGAAGGACAACCCATCATTCAATGATATAGGGGTCGGCGCTCCTAGCCGCCGAAACGTATCCATGGGCTGACCGGACCGTGTCACCCTTGGGAGAAGACTTATACTAGGCGATCCGCCCAAGACAGCTCCGTTTCTAGAGACTCTCAAAAAAACTTAATTAAAAATGTAGGAGACTAAACACAAAAAATTGGCTTATAAAATTGATGAAATAACATTGCAGATTGATGATACACATTACGGGGCGTAAATTGAGACGCACAATAAATCAAAAACGCATTATTAAGAACGCACTGTTAATAACGCAACATTGAGAACTCACTATTAGGAACACACTATCGAGAACGCACTATTGAGGACACAAATTGAGAACGAACTATTGAGAACACAGATTATAAATAACACACTATTGAGAACACACATTATTAATAACGTACTATTGAGAATGCACTATTGAGAACTCACTATTGAGAACTCACTGTTGAGAACTCACTATTGAGAGCTCACTATTGAGAACTCACTCTTGAGAAATCACTATTGAGAACTCACAATTGAGAGCGCACTATTAAGAGAACACACTATTGAGAACTAACTGTGGAGAACTCACTGTTGAGAACTCACTGCTGAGAACTCACTGTTGAGAACTCACTATTGAGAACGCAAAAACCTGCGACAATTTATACAATACATACAAACCAGTTTCATATAATTTATACAATACATACAAACCAGTTTCATATAATTTATACAATACATACAAACCAGTTTCATATAATTTATACAATACATACAAACCAGTTATATATAATTTGATTTTAAAATAAATTAAATTACCGGTATAAGGGATATTAAAGCAGGGTGTTCCATCGAAGCTGTGCTCTCGTGGCATTTGTCCCAACAAACTCGGAGACGTTTAAACAGCATTCCGATACCTTAATTTTACATTTTTAACAATAAAGGTTCTTTCAAGTTTATTCATTTATTATTGAACTCTACCTTAGTTTAATTAATATTTCAATATTTTAATTTAATCCTTGAAACAATATTTGTATCTTTACATTAGATCAATATTACCTTAATTGATTAAATGATTAATTATTCCAATTTAAATCACAAAAATTGTTTTATCTTTAAGTGTAATTATTCACAAACCTTAACTCAACACATACTCCATAGTTTAAACCAGTTGATTGATCAAAAAAGTAAAACTTTTAACTTATTTAAAAAACTTTTCAATCAAAATCTAAAATTGACGCTTATTTATAAATTCTTAATTTGAATTACAATTCAAAACTGATCTCTTTTTTTCTGTTTATTCGCATGTCCGATCATAAATGATGATTCAGGCCAATTTGCCTTAATTTTTTTATTGGGGAACTCGATAGAACCACGGGAAAGTTCTTAAAATGGTTTTGAAATTCTAAAATCAGTGGGTGAATTAAAATACCTTTCAGTACTTCCTGCAGTCTATTCTGTTTATCTAGGTTTCCCCTATCATTCTGCTGAGTCTGACTCTGTCCAATCGGAGGCTAAACAATAATAACAATAATAGAATATTTACGAAATTAAACTGGACTTCTCTAGTTATAACTATTACTTAGCTTTAACTTGTTAGCAACTAGCAATATAAAGATTTCACAAATATACATATATTAGTAGAATGTTAAACAATTTTAGTTTAAGGGACATTCTTAAATCCTCACCAAAAATTCCCCCCCCCCCTCCAGATCTTAAAAAATGTTAAACATAAACACTTCTTAAAAAATTATTTTTACATTAAGAATGAAGACAAAAATATATTTTAAACCTGAAGGGATTTGAGAATAGAAAATACTTCAAGAGTCCGGGCAGAAATCTCCTCAACAGTTTCCTGACCAATCCGACAGATGGTGCTGGTGTTAACTTCCTTCTGCTGCTGCATACCAGCACTATTCTCAACATTGGATACGGTGTCTCCTTTATAAATCAACCCTTTATATCTCAATATATCAATCTATCAATCTTCTATCAATCTTCTATCAATCTTCTATCAATCTTCTATCAATCTTCTATCAATCTTCTATCAATCTTCTATCAATCTTCTATCAATCTTCTATCAATCTTCTATCAATCTTCTATCAATCTTCTATCAATCTTCTATCAATCTTCTATCAATCTTCTATCAATCTTCTATCAATCTTCTATCAATCTTCTATCAATCTTCTATCAATCTTCTATCAATCTTCTATCAATCTTCTATCAATCTTCTATCAATCTTCTATCAATCTTCTANTTATCAATTTATCAATTTATCAATTTATCAATTTATCAATTTATCAATTTATCAATTTATCAACCTATCAACCTATCAACCTATCAACCTATCAATCTATCAATCTATCAATCTATCAATCTATCAATCTATTAATCTATCAATCTATCAATCTATCAATCTATCAATCTACCAATATATCATTCTATCATTCTATCATTCTATCATTCTATCAATTTATCAATAAATCAATAAATCAATATATTAAAATATTAATATATCTATTAATCTATCAATCTTTCAATCTATTAATCTATTAATCTATCAATCTTTCAATCTATCAATCTATCAATCTACCAATCTACCAATATATCATTCTATCATTCTATCAATTTATCAATTTATCAATAAATCAATAAATCAATAAATCAATAAATCAATATATCAATATATCAATATATCAATATATCAATATATTAAAATATTAATATATCTATTAATCTATCAATCTTTCAATCTATCAATCTATCAATCTGCCAATCTACCAATATATCATTGTATCATTCTATAAATACTAGAAATTCAAGGCGCTTCGCGCCCTTCTTTCTAGCCTTAGAGGGCGATCTTCTAAATTAATTGTGAACATATTCTCTTTGTGTACATCGTAAAACAAAACAGAAATAATTCGCGGATTTTCACAAAAAATTTCGCGGATTTTCAAAATTTAAAAAAATTTAATGACGATCGAATTTTGATGGAGACAAATATTTAAAATTTCAATCATTCATAAACCTTCCCTGGAGTCCCTAGAGGTCCCACAAAAAATTTGGGCCCGATCGGTTCAGCCGTTTTGACGTTTATTGGATACAAACAGACAGACAGACAGACAAACAGACAAGCCACATTTATATATAGATTAATATATCAATATATCATTATATCAATATATCAATCTATCAATTTATTAGTATATTAATATATCATTTATCAATCAATCAATCCGCGAATCGTTCAGGAAGTAAGTCAGATCCATCTTTGTATTTGTGAATCAACGATATCTTAATAAAAAATCAAAACCAAACCAAACCAACTGCAAGATTTGTCTCTACTGAATGCTAGATCTTATCCGAACAGAAATCTGAACATTTTTATGGATATTGTTAATCTTGAATACTTGATCTCGATATCCAACTTGGGCACTTTAAAATTTGAGGATCATTGCTTGGTTCCCCAATTAAAGTTATCCCTGCAGGGAATATCGAAGATAAATTAAATTAATCACCGGCCGATCTAAATAAGCTAGATGGAGATCAATAATGGATCCTGAGTTTCACAACACAGAACTTTCCACTTCAGTTTAAGTTTTGATAATTTTAAATATAATTTTCGTGCAACTGTAAAGTGTAAAGCCAACCTGATGGATCAACTGATATATTTCCAGGTAAGTTTGATTGTCCAGGAGACTGGGTCTGGTTCCCTAGCCCCATCATACCCGGAGCTGGAGTTGGCATCCGTCCTCCCATCATTCCTAATAAAGAATCGTATAGGGTTCATGATAAATGTGTTAGAACTACGACAACTTCATCAAATAAAATATTTAAGATCGAAAATAATAGAGAAGGAAATTTTTATTTCTCTAAAAAAAACGGCCAACTGGAGCATTTTCATCTTGTTTACGTAACCTCTAATTTGTTGATAAAATTTTGGAAACTAGGAACTTATTAAGATTTGAGAAAATAAAGAAACTTCAACTTATCAAGGATGCTTCATACCTTGACCAGGTCTGACTAAACCTCCAATACCATACTGTCCAGTCGGCATACTCATTCCTCCTCCTCCCATCATTCTAGCTCCAGGTCCTCCTACTCCGGTAGGACGTTGAGGATATCCGGTCATTCCGTGCATATTCATCCCAACCCTTCCCATCCCTCCAGGTCCACCAGGCATTGAACCCAGACCACCTGATACACTAGTCATAGTCCCGGGTCCACTTGATACACCTGACATAGGGACTGGACCTCCTGACACACTTGACATAGGAACTGGACCTCCTGAACTGCTGGATATAGTTGGAGGTCCACCCATTAGAGAGCTTTGGGATGAAGCCATTGAGCTTGAATTAGGACTCATTCCTCCGGCAATGGATCCTGGCACTCCTAGTCCACTTGTCATAGAAGTAGGTCCTCCAGACATTGATCCTGGTCCACCGGACATTATCCCGGAGCCTCCAGACATTGATCCTGGTCCAGATCCTATTCCACTTGTAGGCATTGATCCAGAGACTGGTCCCATCCCAGGCTGACCTCCTGACATAGGGCTCATCCCTCCAGTACTTACTAGAGATCCTTGTCCTCCTTTGATCCCAACAGTGTTCGATCCCATTAATCCTGGACCACCCATTGATCCTAGACCACCCATCGATCCTAGACCACCCATGGATCCGGGACCACCCATGGATCCGGGACCACCCATGGATCCTGGACCGCCCATGGATCCGGGACCACCCATTGATCCTGGACCTCCCATAGGTCCTGGACCACCCATGGGTCCTGGACCACCCATGGGTCCTGGACCACCCATGGATCCTGGAACACCCATGGACCCTGGTCCGCCCATTGATCCGGGACCACCCATCGACCCTGGACCACCCATGGGCCCTCCTGGCCCACACATTGAACCCGGACCTCCCATCATCGGGCCACGTGGTCCTGGCATATTGTTATACGGATTTTTAGACATTTTTTAGTCTCTGAAATCATGAATTATAAATGCAACATTAAGTGTTAGTTTTTATAGATGAATAATGTACATATTTTATAGCAAATACATATATATATAATTAAAGATAAATCACAGATCATTTCTTGGTTTGGATGGCTTGAATCGCTTTAACCCTGGAGTCGATATTATCAAAGTTCCTCTCAATGTTTGTCAGGTTCTCTTGGAACTTATTCTCTATCTCCCTAAAACATAAAAATCAAATTAATTAATTTAAAATCAGGAATCTACCAATCCCTCCAACACGCCTAGAGGAAAAAGGAATTAAGTCTTCTGATTCCTATATCTTTACAGCTCAAAGTCGTAGACCTTAAATATTTCAATCTTAAATTCTGTAAGATTGAATAATTTAAGTTTGAAATATATAAGATTTTAAACCAGCAGATTGCGAAGATATAGGAAATAGAAAATTTGAGTGTGACAAAGACTCAATTAATTTGTAAGATATTAATCAAAATGAAAGAGAAAGAGAATTCAGAGAAAGTGAATGAATTCTGAAATTCCTGAATTTAATTTTAGAAAAAAATTAGACAATCTACTCCAGAATTTAAAATCGTGCAAAATTTGACTAGGATTGAAATTCATAAATTCCATTCTTATTAGAAAAATCTTACTTGAGAAGAGTAGAATTATTGGAGAGCTGGGTTAGGAGCTGAGTTTGAACTGTTTCAAGCTCTAGCAAGGATTGAGTTAAATCAGCTGCCTAAAAACAGGAAGGTCAGTACTTAGTTTAATTTAAGTAGCACTACAGTACAGTGCTTTAAATTTTGATGCGAATACTATATTTGTGTTCTATATTTATTATATTTTGCAGGTACTGTTACTATATATATTTTATTTTGCAGGTACTGTTACTATATTTATTATATTTTGCAGGTACTGTTACTATATTTATTATATTTTGCAGGTACTGTTACTATATTTATTTTATTTTGCAGGTACTGTTACTATATTTATTTTATTTTGCAGGTACTGTTACTCTATTTATTTTATTTTGCAGGTACTGTTACTATATTTATTTTATTTTGTAGGTACTGTTACATGTACTTTACTGGTCCATATACTATACTAGTACATAACCTGTAATAGTACATGTACTGGATTTGTACATAACCTGTACTAGTACATGTACTGTACTTGTACATAACCTGTACTTGTACATGTACTGTACTTGTACATAACCTGTACTAGTACATGTACTGTACTGGTACCTCTGTATGAAGAGGACTAAGAGCTTCCATCCTGTCCAGTATATCTGGTATCTCAGCAGCCCACTGAGTAGATTTATCCGACAGCTTTACTAGCTCCTTGATCTTATCCATCGCAGTCTTGTCTTCCTCTACACTCTGCTCTCCCTCATTATCCAGTTTCTGATGCAGTACAGCTAACCGACCTAATATAAATATTTAAGTTTTTAATCATAACTCCTCTTATTGAAGAATAAAAATGTTTTTAATTTCTAATAATGTGACCAGATTAATTTTCTTACTCCGAGGTGACAATGTTGGACCAGCAATTTTATTTAAATTTGATCTTATCCTTTTGTAAAGTTTGCAGTGTCCTTGAAGAGGAGCTAAATGAAGTCGAAAATCCCCTAAAGTTGCTTCTGTTTCTACCACATACACCCCCCCCCCCCATTCCCTTGAAAATCATAAATAAACGGGGTTTTCAGAGAAAAACATCTAACAGTGATTTCTTAATATTTCTATGGATTCCCATCTCAATATTTATAATTTAAAAATCTAAAAATAAACCTTCAATATGATCTAAGTTCTTTGGTTCAAGGATAGTTGTTTTGGAAGAGAGCACAGAAACAGCTTCGGTCAAACTCTTTCTAAATAATAATGAATCACATTTTTTAAACTAAAGATAAATCTCTTCAGTAAAGAGAAATGATTAAGGATGTAATAATCAGGGATATACATTTCTTTAAAAATAATTCCCCTCTCTTTTGAAAATAATTTTTAACCCCAGAATTTTGCAAAAAACATTTTTGGGTAAAAAGTTTTAAAAAGGATGAAAAAACTTCCCTTTTAATCCCCCCCCCCCCCGCGCTCTTGAAATAACAATAATTTTCTAAGCAAAAATGTAACAAGTAGCTAAACTAACCTGCCAGTTTCCATATTGAGGACGGATAGATCCTCAGGATTGTCTCCGATTAGTTTCTCCAGTGCTCCAATCCTATTGTAAGAGCTATCTAAGAGTAAATAAACTAACCTATCATTTATCCTAACTATCTTGGGAAAACATAAACTAACCTGGTTATATCCTGGTTATCCTAGTGCTCATAAACTAACCTAGCAAATATCCTGGTTATCCAATAACACATCCTGGCTATCCTAGTCCTCATAAACTAACCTAGCAAATATCCGGGTTATCCAATAACATATCCTGGCTATCCTAGTCCTCATAAACTAACCTAGGAAATATCCGGGTTATCCAATAAGATATCCTGGCTATCCTAGTCCTCATAAACTAACCTAGCAAATATCCTGGTTATCCAATAACACATCCTGGCTATCCTAGTCATCATAAACTAACCTATCAAATATCATGGTTATCCAATAACATATCCTGGTTATCCTAGTGCTCATTAACTAACCTAGCAAATATCCGGGTTATCCAATAACATATCCTGGCTATCGGATCCTAGTCCTCATAAACTAGCCTAGCAAATATCATGGTTATCCAATAACATATCCTGGCTATCCTAGTCCTCATAAACTAACCTAGCAAATATCCGGGTTATCCAATAACATATCCTGACTATCCTAGTGCTCATTAACTAACCTAGTAAATATTCAGGTTATCCAATGACATATCCTGGCTATCCTAGTCCTCATAAACTAACCTAGCAAATATCCGGGTTATCCAATAACATATCCTTGCTATCCTAGTGTTCATAAACTAACCTAGTAAATATTCAGGTTATCCAATAACATATCCTGGCTATCCTAGTGCTCATAAACCCAACTAACAAATATCCTGGTTATCCAATAACATATCCTGGCTATCCTAGTCCTCATAAACTAACCTAGCAAATATCCGGGTTATCTTATAAGATATCCTGGCTATCCTAGTGCTTATAAACTAACCTAGCAAATATCCGGGTTATCCAATAACATATCCTGGCTATCCTAGTCCTCATAAACCCAACTAACAAATATCCAGGTTATCCAATAACATATCCTGGTTATCCTAGTCCTCATAAGCTAACCTAGAAAATATCCAGGTTATCCAATAACATATCCTTGCTATCCTAATGTTATCATATATCCTGAGCCGGGAACTTTTGTGTTGGATAGTCTTATTTCTGATAACTTGATCTCGATATCCATTGTGGGCAATTTTGATTTGAGTATCAATGCTTAATCTCTTTATTTCAGTTATTCCTCCATGTTACGAGTACCAAGCGGGATATCAAATAATGCAGATTAAAAAATAATAGATCTAGCATTGATCTCGATATCCACAATACAAGAGTTCTCACCTCTGGTTATTCTAGTGTACAAAAACTACTCTAGGAGGTATCCCGTCAATTCTTAAAACCATATGCTTATCTTGAGAAAAAAATCTAATGCAAGAGATACCCCAGATAACCTTGATAACTTTTTATCTGGCATCTATTTTGGGTATTAAATAATTTGTAACCTAACCTCGCAGAATACCAGACTATGAAAAAGCAATTATCCTGACAATCAAAAAAACTAACCTAGCTGACAGTCTAGCGATCCCTGATTGCGCCTGCAGACGAGAAGTACTTGGTTTCATCATAAGATTGTAGTTGAACCGTGCAGAACTCTGTAATTATTTAAATTTTATTCTTCCGTCCAGTGCTTATGATCCGGATCCAGATTTCACATTCACTGCATCCGGATCCCGAGTTTTTTTATAAACCTTCAAAGTCCTTATTTCTGTAAACATTATTTAATCCTATGCAACCCATAAAAATATTAGCAAGGGTTTTGCTTCTGCACTAGTTAAAATATTAGTTCTAACCTTAGTATTAGCGTTGTCTGCAGCCCTCAACTCTACTTGTATATCTTTCATCTGATTGAGTTGAGAAAGGAGACGTTTTCTAACCGCAGCCTGCAAAAAATATAAACCATGGATATCTGACGGTTTATCGAGACAGTTTTTTTAAAATGAAATTAGGAGCATGGTAGAATTGGTAGGATTAGGTATACCTCAGGGTCCGTCATTGTCTCCAAGGTTTCCTCACCAGTATATATATTTACCTCAGGGTCTGTCATCATCTCCAAGGTTTCCTTGCCTGAAACCTACTCCAGTATATATGTTTACCTCAGGGTCCGTCATTGTCTCTAAGGTTTCCTCACCAGTATATATATTTACCTCAGGGTCTGTCATCATCTCCAAGGTTTCCTTGCCTAGAACCTGCTCGAGTATATATGTTTACCTCAGGGTCTGTCATTGTCTCCAAGGTTTCCTTGCCTAGAACCTGCTCCAGTCTTATCTCAACTAGATGCTTATGCAACAACTCAACCTTAGAGAAAAGGGATTCAATATCTAGCCAAGTACAGAGGGAATCAGTGATACTAACGATTTTTCATTAGGAATAAGATCAGGCTCTTGTGTAAACCCGATAGTGATTTCCAACAAAAATAAAATTAGTTATACAGTGAGAATGCTTTGGCAAGTGTTTTCTTCAATTTAGTTCTCTTGAAAAAACTTTTGTACAAGAAAGATTTCAAAATATGATTAGATTAATGCAGTATCATTGTCTTTTATGATGAATAATATGGTGATTAAAAATATGAGGAAAGAAGGACAGGATGAAAAATAAATTTATCACTACTATTGTCAATGTCATATTTCTTATTAAGATTATTTCTGTAAAGAACACCCCAGCATTGGTCAAGAAGTCAATTGGTCAAGTGCAATGTACACCAGGTAGAACATGTAACAACTAACCATTGTCTAACAAAATATTGTCCCATATCACGTTTAGAAATTTATGAACACTCCCTTTAGGTTAATTGCCTCGAACCTGGGATGAAAGTGATTCCAAGGTTCCGGTTTCTAAAGAAGAATCCTTATTCCTCTGCGCTTCCTGGATATCCTCAGAGAGCTCACGAACCTAAACCAAGGATAAGGAATTTTTTAAGAACATCTTATTTAAAAATATTTCTATTTCTACATTAAGACTTGAAATGATATATTTAGGTTGTTAATTAAAGCTAGAATTACAAATAACGTTACTAAATAAAAACATTAAGTTCCCAAGAATGATGGCTGGCTATCATTAATTAACTATTTTTATTTCTATTTTAACCTCGGCATTAAGACGTTGATATTTCTGCACAACAGTTTCTTCTTTTTTATTCTCGTCTTCTCCTTTCCATACTATATACCCTGAATTTAAACAATACATGGCTTCATATTAATCATTTATTTCTCATTTATATTTCCTCCAATTCTAAATTTTTAGGTGAAAACTTTGTGTCTTGTGTGTGACTTTATTTCCGTATGCGTGACTTTATTTCCGTATGCGTGTAGTGTGTATTAATATATTTCTCTATTCCCTAGTAGGGTACAGGATTCTATTTTTTTAATGTAAGGTTTTCGGTTGTTTTTTTAAAAACTTTTTTGGTGAAACCATTGCTCTCAGTGTTACTGTTTCTTGCCATCTGCTGTAACCAATTGTGCTTTTCCTTGTCCGTTTGATGTATGCGAGTATTCTACTCATTGCCCGTCTGATGTATGCGAGTATTCTACTCCCTGCCCGTCAATGTGAATGCGAGTATACATCTCCTGTCCGTTGATGTATGCGAGTATTCTACTCCTTGCCCGTCTGATGTATGCGAGTATTCTACTCCTTGTCCGTCAAGGTGCATGCGAGTATACATCTCCTGTCCGTCTGATGTATGCGAGTATTCTACTCCTTGTCCGTCAAGGTGAATGCGAGATACATTTCCTGTCCGTCTGATGTATGCGAGTATTCTACTCCTTGCCCGTCAAGGTGTATGCGAGTAACTTCTCCTCTCCGTCTGATGTATGCGAGTATACATCTCCTGTCCGTCTGATGTATGCGAGTATACATCTCCTGTCCGTCTGATGTATGCGAGTATACATCTCCTTGTCCGTCAAGGTAAGAGTATACTTCTCCTGTCCGTCTGATGTATGCAAGTGTTAATCATTTGTCTGGTGTATTCTTTTCTATTTTACCTTTTCTTCTGGTATTTCTTATTCGATCAGAAAAATCTACACTAGCAGTATCCACTAGGCTGCCTTTAAACCTGTCATGATAAAAATTCAAAATCAGTAAATATCAAAATAACATTTTTACAACTTCACATATTGTGGATAAAACGCCCAGTGAGGGATCAGAAAAATTTATTTACTATTTATGTTATTATTAAAAAATTCTCACCTTCCAAAGGCTTCGTTAGTGGACACATGTATAGTTTCAATACTAGCAGACGATTCATCAGTTTCCGGGAAATAATGCTACAACAGGAATAGTTTCAATACTAGCAGACGATTTATCAGTTTCCGGGAAATAATGCTACAACAGGAATAGTTTAATACTAGCAGAAGATTCATCCGTTTCCGGGAAATAATGCTACAACAGGAATAGTTTAATAATAGCAGACGATTCATCAGTTTCCCGGAAATAATGCTACAACAGGAATATTTTAATACTAGCCAAAGATTAATCAGTTTCCGGGAAATAATGCTACAACAGAAAAGTTTAATAGTAGCAGAAGATTCATCAGTTTCCGGGAAATAATGCTACAGCAGAAAAGTTTAATAGTAGCAGAAGATTTTAATACTAGCCAAAGATCAATCAGTTTCCGGGAAATAATGCTAAAACAGGAATAGTTAAATAATAGCAGACGATTCATCAGTTTCCCGGAAATAATGCTACAACAGGAATAGTTTAATAATAAGACGATTAATCAGTTTCATGGAAGTAATGTTACAACAGGAATAGTTTAATACTAGCAGACAACTAGAAATAGCGATAGACAGGAAGAGTTTAATACTAGCAGAAGATTCATCAGTTTCCGGGAAATAATGCTACAACAGGAATAGTTTAATAATAGCAGAAGATTCATCAGTTTCCGGAAAATAATGCTAAAACAGGAATAGTCAAATAATAGCAGACGATTCATCAGTTTCCGGGAAATAATGCTTCAACAGGAAATTTTAAAAGTAGCAGTTCGGAAAAAAATAAATTCCAGGAAATAATGCTACAACTGGAATAGTTTAGTACTAGCCAAAGATTAATCAGTTTCCGGGAAATAATGCTACAACAGAAAAGTTTAATAGTAACAGTTCAGAAAAAATAAATTCCAGGAAATAATGCTACAACAGTATTACTATAATAAAGCAGAAAATTGAAAATTCCGGGAAATAATGATACAAAGAGGAATAATTTAATAGGAGATAACTTATCCAAAACGCTGTACAACAGGAATAATTAATTACTTTGAGATGAATTATAAGTTTCTGGGAAAAAATGTTAGAAACAAAAAAGTTTAATGATAGCAGCTAAAACACTTTTGATTTTTAATAACATAAAAACCTGGTTTGTATAGTTAATCAATAAATCAGACTAAACTCCAACCCCCTCACCTGGTCCGCTTCAGTTTGCTCGGATGTTTCAAAAACATCCGAGTTTTCAAGATCTATTCCTGGACCCTTCGTTCCGCCCATTTTCTCTGAATATGCAAGTATGGGAGGCTTTTGACGATTTAATTTTTTTTACAATATTTTAGCTTACATTTTCAGAATTTTTTGACAAATAAACCTGAGAATACTTCATAAAAATTAAAACAATAATATTAATCCAATCAGAAATAAAGAAAGAACACAAAGAAAAAGACAATTTTCAGTGAATGTAACCGAACGGTAAATATTACAAGGAGCTTCATAACTCCATTAAGAGGTGTTGTAGAGTAATCAAGAACTCCTTTTTCCCAGCCCCTACTACTGTATCCGTGCCCCTGCTCCTGTTCTCTAGGACCTGCGTTTGTCTTACAGCTCCTGCTCCTGTTTAAGGTCCTGCTTTTATCCCTACAGCTCCTGCTCCTGTTAAAATTCCTGCTTTTGTCCTATTAGGCAGGGAACTCCCGGACGCCATGAGCCTCAGCTATGCAGACACGCAAAAATGAGCATGCGCAATAAAACTTTGAACATTTCTTACGCAGAAAGGAAAATAATTAGAAAAAAATTTTAATTGAATTGAATTCATCTTTTATAATCTTAGATTTAAGCAATACCTTTGTTTGTAGTTCAAATTAAATAAAGAATATTTGTATCAATTATTTAAATCTTAATGGTTTTTTAAAAAAAGGTATTGTTTAAATCAAAGATTACAACAAAACAAACTAAATTTACTCCAGAAATATTTCTCCAAATATCTTCCTTTCTCCGTAAGACATGTTTAAAGTTTTATATACAACTTTATTTGTCATAATTAGGCACTATTTATGATAATTGATAAATACTTCTCATCTTTGAGAAACTTCTTATGCCACTTTGTTGAAAAATTTGTAAAAAATCTTTTATTCAAACTTAAAACACAAGCTTATAAAACATCCTGTATTACACAGACACATTTTGATATATTGCGCATGCTCATTTCTGCGTGTCTGCATGGCGGAGGCTCATGGCGTCCGGTGATTCTCTCCCTTGTCCTAAAGCGCCTACTCCTTTTCTCAAGGTCCTGTTTTGTCCTAAATCTCCCACTCCTCTTCTCAAGGTCCTGTTTTGTCCTAAATCTCCCACTCCTCTTCTCAAGGTCCTATTTTGTCCTACATCTCCCACTCCTGTTCTCAAGGTCATGTTTTGTCCTACAGCTCCTGCTCCTGTTCTAGTCCAGCTCCTTGTTTAATCTTTAGTTGAAGTATCCTCAGGCAGGCCTGGCTCAATATATGTGTTTATATCAGACGATATACTCACACAACAGTTGAATATACGCAGTCAGAAGGAACTCAATACAAACCAATCAAATAGTAAAATTTTCGTATACATTTTAAAGTTAATTACAGTAACTATATTTAATCGAGGGTTTAAGATCATCAGCACTTCCGAAAGAATTCTGTGTTGAAAACCTGTCAATCCTGATTTAAAAAATTTTCTTAACAGCGAGCATTTTCTAAATCTGGATTAAAACTCAGGATTAATCCGGGAGCTTAATAGCTTTATTTGTGCGGAAGTATTTAAATTCCTGACTGATTTCCGAATTAATGAGACTTAATTTGAATGGTTTGTTTTGAATTTCCCCCTCTCCAGTTAACCTAACTGATACACAGCACAAACAAACAAACATATACAGGACAGTTTACACAGTAGAATATGATAATAATATACCATTACACATCTTACATAGCTAACATTAACAGTTCATGTGTACAATACAAGTGATGTGGTTCATTAGAAACATGTACAGTTGTGTCATTGTTTTATAATAATACTTTGAACATTAAGCACTAAATAGCAAGCTGTGTAGCATGCATTAAGCACAAAAAGGACTAAAACCAGAGAGGAAATTATTCCCGGCCGATAGTTTAATTACGTAGATTTGAACAGCCTCTCCTTGACTTGAACCGGCGTACAAAAAAACGTGGTTAAACTCACTAGCTATCCATTAAATCTGGTCCGTGATCAATAAACTTAATAGCTATTGATTAAATCTGGTCCCTGATCAATAAACTTACTAGCTATTCATTAAATCTGGTCCCTGATCAATAAACTTACTAGCTATTTATTAAAGCTGGTCCCTGATCAATAAACTTACTAGCTATTCATTAAATCTGGTCCCTGATCAATAAACTTACTAGCTATTCATTAAATCTGGTCCCTGATCAATAAACTTACTAGCTATTCATTAAATCTGGTCCCCGATCAATAAACTTTATTCCCTTTTTGTCCTAGTCCTTTCAGCGTACAAATTAACATTTCAAGTTTTTCGCCTAACTTAAAAAACGTTGTCCTATTAATGATGCTAATTAACACAATGACTAAAGCAGAAAATGTGAATCTACAAATCAACATGAAGATTCTCAAGACTAGTTCTACATACGTTACAAAGCAGGGTATATAAGTTTACGAAATAAATAATAAAAGTTGGAAACCCTGTCAACAAATATTTTATGCATTGCAACTGTGCTTATTCAACTGTCAAGGCAGGCCTAAAAAATTCTCAATGAATCAACATTCTCATTGGTGCCATAATCATCCCGATAAACAGCAATGGATGCTTTAGGTCGGGAAGTTCTAATAAAATCTAATAAAAGGAAGAAAAAAGGAAAAAAGTGAGAATGCTGGTTTAACGAGAAACATGCATGTATTTTATATGGGGGTAGAGAGGATAAAGATTATTAACAATCCTATCAAATTATTAAATTATATGTAAAACTTATTGTAAAACGGACTGCTGAGATTTTCCTTAATTTTAATTGTTGCCATAAAACCATTTTATTCTTTGAATCAAAATGAGTTTATAATTTATCAATTCGCCTTAAAGTGAGTTGCATATAATACATCATTTTAAACGAATTTCAGAATATTTTTTGTTCATGATTTAAAAATCTGAATATAATAATGACTGTTCAGACCTTAATTAAACATCATTGAATTAATTCTCAAAATCACCGTCAATATGGAGAAAAATGTTAGTAATTGTTTTAAACCTTTATCCACAAAAAAATTTGAAGGTACAAAAGGGAACGATATCTAGCGAAGTATAAATAATGGGTCCAAAAATTATTTTTAAGATGAACCCCAAAATAAAATGTTTTAAATGGTTGTTCTTAATGTCCATTCAGATTCATTGAACTCTCAGTTCGCTGGTCATCGTTGCAAGGTGTACCTGAAGTAAGAAGACATGTCTATTGTCTAATCTAAAACAAAATTAATTTTTTTTGTTGAGCCAGATAAAAACAAACTCAATCAATTAATCAAGAAATATATTTTTTTATATAACGACACGATTTAGAATTTTCTTCTATTCTTATATATAACAACTTTTTTTAGATAAAAGCAATAGATTTTTACTATTGATTTTATTGAAAAGAATTTAGAGAGAAAAATAACAATATATGACAGAAAAAAAAGAAATTAATAAATAAAACATTATTTTTACCAATTATTTCTACTTCTTTCCCCTCTGAGACCTTTTCGTCATCATCTTCAGATAGTTAAGTGTAATTCTGAAGATAGATTATAATAAGTAAAAGTCTTTAAATAAAAAAGACTATTTTACCATCGCATGTTTTAGTTTAAAAGGAAGACGAAGAAAATGAAAGACATAAACCAGACAAGAATTTGTATATATATATATTTGGCTGTTGTTGGTGTTTATAGTTTGATAGTTTGTATCCAATTAACGTCATGACGCCTGAGCTAAAAACTTAAGAATTGGATACCCTTAACACAGATCGTTTAATCTGAATATCCACAGTGGACTATTTTTATTTCTACTTAATCCGTTAATTTCCCCTCTTTTTGGATTGCCCTACAGAGTACAGAATTCCGACCAATGAGAGTTCTCTCATTAAATGGCGCACACAATTTAAATTTCCCGGCATATGAGCAATATAATCTTAGGATTAACCAAAAGAGGAGATCAAGCGTTGAGCTCGATTTCCACAATTCTAAAGTTTTCCGCTCAGAACCAATAAGATTCAAATTATTTTTTTTGTGTGCTAAATCACATGACCTCAGAAAGGTTGAAATTTGAATAAGAAAAAAAGTAAAAATTTTGATTTAAATTTTTTTGAAAATCCACTAATATGAACACAGTATAATTCGCGATTTTTTGTTATTAAAAAAAATTTACAGAAAAATGTCACAAACCCCTATATTAAATATATTACTATTATTACCTAGCAGCTTCATTCTGCGCCTTGTCATAATCCTTGCCAGCGGCGTAGCAAACTGCAATCGGTAGTGTCGAGATCTGAACTAAACATTGATGTTCACCATCATCATTTTTCTCCTCAACCTCGACATAGGTCACTTCAAACTTCTGCTCCTTGCTCACATCCTCCAACATAGTCTTGTAGTTCACACTCCTGAAATAAATAAATGTTTATTTGCTGAAGTTCTCGGTGTTGTCAGTTGTTAGGATCCGGATCCGGATCCAGACCCAAGCGTGATATATCAAAAATTGAAGAAAAAAAACTTTTTGCTCTCAAACTCAAAATCTGAACTGTTGAAAATAGAGAAATAATTAAAAATCTCTGAAAAAAACAGTAAAATTTAAAGAAACCTAGATCAGGAAACATTCATTTTTTAACCAAAAGAGGAGATCAAAATCCACATCAAAATGAAATGGATCCTAAGCACTGCCCGTGGTGTTTTTTAAGAATCATCCAATACTAGGGGGAAAACGACCTCCTGGGACCAAAGTTCTAAACTATTTATCTGGATCTGGCTCTTTGCATCCGGAACCAGATCCGCAACAATATGTGAATCCAGGGATCCGGATACAATATGAATAAAAGAAATAGAACATTTTTACGTTCTCCTTTACGTTAATTTTAAAGAAATATTCATGACCTGGATTCGAATCCATTTTTATATGGCGGATCCTAACAGTGCTTAGAATCCGGATCCGCAAGGAAAAAAGGATCCTAAACACTACAGGAGGTAAATGCAACGTATTTCACTTTTGTTACATCCCGCGACTGCGAGTGTTACAGTTTTAGGAAACAAGCAAGCACCAATACATGCATAGTTCGCTTCCCCGTTATTTAAAAACTGTTGTCGAATCCAGCGGATGTAAACTGACCTATTACTGAGTGATGTTACGTGGAGTTTAGCCAAAAACTTCCCGTTCGCATTTTGTAAGTTTTTATAGAACGCAGCAACCTAGAACAGACATCATTTTTATATTTCTAGATATTAAAAGTTTTCAACCAATGGTTCTTTCAATACAATTTTTTTATTTCTCGAGAATAGAGATACGTCGTAGTTGATAAAAGAGATAATGAGTGGTACGTATTTGAAAATAATGGAGTTTCAAAAACAACTTCTAAATATCACGTTTTTATGCATTTACTGTTAATTATTTAATTTAAAAAATAAACTAATCCTAAATGGTTAATAATAGTTAAAAGAAAACAGTGTGTATGTAAAAGCTCGCCGTATCAAATGTGATTTATTTCTTAGTTATAAAAATATTTATCAGAATCTTGGTTAAAATCCAAATATATAAATACTTATTGTTATTTTGGTTGTAAATATGAAAATAAGTTAATTTTTGTTTATAGCAACAGGATGTCAGAAGTATCATAAGACCTTTAAAAACCCACGTGTATCAAACTAGTCCCTTTTTGAAAATTCCCCCCCCCCCCCCCCCACACAAAAAATATATGTATTCATACATATAAACTTTTATAAAAATTTTTACAAAACAAGTGCTTACTAAATAAATAATAAAAATTCGCCAATTTACGAAGAAAAAAAAATAAGGCAGAAATGAGTTAATATTTTCTTAAATTTCGTAAATCATAATATACGTCACACTTTCGCAACCAGCAAACGCAGATAAATTGGTTTTTATCCAAACGGTCTACGATTACCTTCTCACTAGCATCTGGAGTTAGAAGATCAATCTTCATATTAGAGATCTTAGTTATCATCTCTTCATCCTCAGCACTCAACACATCTACTACACCTCCAACCTGAACAATTAATCAAATCAGATCCTTGTTGGAACACTCGATTCCAACGAGCCAATCCTGAAACTATTTATAAAAGGTTTTTGGTAAAAAAAAATTAAATTTTGGAGGAAAAAGTATTAAAACGAATGGAAAAACTTGCCTTTTGTTGTATACAGTTTTCAGGTTTTCCTCACAATTCATGAAAAATCACGCCACCNCCCCCAACGGAATTTTAATCCTTAAAATTATTCACCCCTGTCCCCTACATTAAGAATTGAACAAGGACGGCCATAAAGCAACAAAATCAAGAGAGGAAAAATGAATGAAATTAAATAACTTTTTATTCACGGTTTTTTAACCTGTTCTGTTCTATTTTGTCCCAGAGATTTCAATTTGTCTATCATTTTTTGAGCCGCCTCACGCTTTGCATCTTTCTTAGACCCTCCAGCACCATTCTCCTGCATCTTACCGACCGTGCACGCTAAACACAAGACTTTACAGAGAGTGCACGTACACAGAAAAACCATGAAATAACAAAAGTTAGGAAATCAAAGAGGGGTTTAAAGAATAAAAAGTCTAATCATGTGGAGGAAGAACGTTGAAAAAAATGGATTAATTCTAGACTTTTCTTTAAAAAATGAGTTTGGCTAAAAATTCTAAAAAACAGACACTGTTTAATGCAGCAATGAAAAATTAAGAAAAAAATGTAATTTTTTTTTTTTAAATATCGTCGGGCTGTTGCTACTGATGATCATATACAATATACATAATTGTTTCGGAAAAGGAAACGTTTCAACTAAACTTCTGTTTTGTAAATTCTAATCAAAATGGCGATGAAGCACAAGGAATTGAATTTTTGGTAAACATTCAAATTTTCTAATCCCAATATCTTTAAAACCTGATTTCGTAAACCTTTTCATATTTAAAACTCTAATATTTGATCTGACAGAATTCACAGTTTAAAATATCAAGTGTCTATGACATTTGGTTGCAGAGATATAGGGATAAAAAATCGGAGTTTGTTGCGAAAACTCAATTAATTTTAATCTGAACTTACTAATAGAAAAATTCCTCTGATGAGGTTGTCCGTCTACTGTTCCGTCGGAGTAGGTCGGCATAGGGAACCCTTGCTTTACACACAACTCCTGCAGTCCTCCTACAGTGTTACCAGGGGCCTTAACATAAATTATAATAATAAAAGAAAGGAACCGAAACCCAAATAGTACTCATGCGATAAAAAAAACTATCTCTAATGTAAATGATCGTTTGCTCATATGTCCTATGTACTCAATACCTCATGTGCTCTATACTCGTTTAGATCTTCAACAGAAGGAAGAGGTTGCTGTTCATATTTACCTGGGAAAAGTTTGGATCCTAAACAGGAGGAAGGGGTTGCTGTTCATATTTACCTGGGAGAAGTTTGGATCCTGAACAGGAGGAAGGGGTTGCTGTTCATGTTTACCTGGGAAAAGTTTGGATCCTGAACAGGAGGAAGGGGTTGCTGCTCATATTTTTTCTTAGGAGAAGTTTGGATCCTGAACAGGAGGAAGGGGTTGCTGTTCATATTTACCTGGGAAAAGTTTGGATCCTGAACAGGAGGAAGGGGTTGCTGTTCATATTTACCTTGGAGAAGTTTAGATCCTGAACAGGAGGAAGGAGTTGCTGTTCATGTTTACCTGGGAGAAGTTTGGATCCTGAACAGGAGGAAGGGGTTGCTGTTCATGTTTACCTGGGAGAAGTTTGGATCCTGAACAGGAGGAAGGGGTTGCTGACCGTCCTGAGCAGGAACCCGTCCGTCCAGTTTATCCAGCATAGCCCTGGAGATTAATTTTGTAAAATTAAATTATTTTTCTAAAGAAATGGTTTAAAGAGATCTTTCATGTTAGAGAAACTAAATAAAAATACTTAATTTATGTTTTTATTATGCTTCACACTTTAACCTGGCAGCTGAATGTTTTGCTTGCTTCTTGCTGCTCCCAGCCCCAGTAGCAGTCAGCTCTCCAAGGATAACCTAAACACAAGCTTGGATTGCAGCTATAATAGATTAACCAAGAAGAAGGTTGGATGAATACCTAAAAGGAGATGGTTTAACGAATGAAGGATGAATACCTGAAAGGAGAAGGTTAAACGAATAAAGTATGAATACGTGAAAGGAGAAGGTTGAACGAATGAAGGATGAAAGAATACGATAAAGAAGAAAATGGGATGAAAAACTGAAAGGAGAGGTTGGATGAATAAATGATGAGTGCCTAAAAGGTGAAGGTTGGATGAATAAATGATGAATACCCGTAAGAAAAAGTTTGGATGAATGAAGGATGAATACCAAGAAGGAGAAGGTTGGATGAATACCTGGAAGGAGAATGTTGGTGCATGACTAGCTCCAGCAGCTTGGACTACTCTGTATACAGGTGTGATTCCTCGGGACTGAAATCTTTCCTAAATATAAGAATATAATATCAACATTTAAAGCTGCGTGTTATTTATTAAATCAGGATTATTTTCAATTGCATGCAAATCAGATCTTGTTTCCAAAATACCTGCAAAGCTCCAACAGGGTTTGTTTCGTAGTTACTCATGTTGGCTGGGTTGCGTTCTCTCCGCCCCTAAACAAGGATTGGTTTTAGACGGAGAAGGATTCACTATGTACCAAATAGTTCAGAAACCTTTCCGGCCGACTGAGTTCTCAGAACCTGACAGTATCCTTTCAGGTTCAACCATATTAAGAGGAAAACGTAAAAATAATGTTTTTCATACATGTTGTTTCCCCTGAGAACCTTGTATTACTTTAAATACAGTCTGAGAACCACTCACTAGTATTGCATAATTGCTGGATTGATTGCTTAGATGTATGAGTATTGAGTAGATAAGTCATAATCGACTATTCTCTTAAATAATAATATTTATTAAGGCAATCCAAAACCCTAAACTGTTCTGTTATCTACTCTAAACTCAACTCATTTATCTGACCTTTATTTTAAACTTATCTAATTGTACGCCGTTCTGTTCTTTAGTCTTACTTGTTCTCCAAACTGATCTGTTAAAGCTAACCTGTTCTCTAAAACCTGGTTGTACGCTTTTCTGTTCTCTAAACTAACCTTGTTGTACGCTATCCTGTTCTCTAAACTAACCTTGTTGTACACCGTCCTGTTATCAAGACTAACCTTTTTGTCTTTTTTTCTAAACTAACCTCGAGTTTCACCGTCCTGTTCTCTGTTGTACGCTTTCCTGTTCTCTAAACTAACCTTGTTGTACACCGTCCTGTTATCAAGACTAACCTTTTTGTCTTTTTTCTAAACTAACCTCGAGTTTCACCGTCCTGTTCTCTACACTAACCTTGTTGTACGCTATCCTGTTCTCTAAACTAACCTTGTTGTACACCGTCCTGTTATCAAGACTAACCTTTTTGTCTTTTTCTAAACTAACCTCGAGTTTCACCGTCCTGTTCTCTACACTAACCTTGTTGTACGCTGTCCTGTTCTGGTATCCGAGAGGCAGAGAATGCGCCACTGTTCTGAAGTTCTGAATAATTTCATATTATTGATCAGAGATCGTAAAAGTTTCTTTATCTTTCAAAGAAATATCATGGCACAACTTAGGTCATTTCTCACTAAAAGACTTTTTATACGAATCCTCTTGGAACAATATTTATTGTTAAGGTCTTTTGTTTTATGACTTTTGACATGTAAATAAAGTATTTTTAACTTTATTTCTTAGTATTTTATTCTATATCAAAAGGTTCCCAATGCAGTTTTGGAAAGTTTTACTATTACAGATTGATTGTCATTTTAACATCAAATAATTAAAAAAAGGTTTATTTTGTACAAATCTCAAAAAACTTATTTTAAATTTGACCAATTATGAATAAAGTATACATCTCAGAGAACAAGATACCTGATGCGACTGCTGAATATGTCCCGAATGCCCTGAAAAAAACGCGATTATTTAAGTTCTGTTTAATTTACTGATTATATCTTTTAACTTGTGCTAACAGATTTAACATTTGTGTTATAAGAGAAAATCATGGAATTATGTATTAAACCTTTATTGTTCAATGTAAAATGTTGCTTTTATAGTTAAACCTTGTCCTTAAAAATGCTAAATTAAAAGCAAAAAATGTTGTTGGTTTAAAACAAATTGTTTGTGATTTGTACAATGTGACATTTTGTGGTAATAAGAAATTTGTATTTGATGAGAGATTTAATTTTGCATTCTAGCAATGTGTTGTATGAAGGTTGAGAGTGTAATTTTATAATCATGTACTATGTGTGGTCTAAAAACTTGTGAAGAGGAATTCAATAATTATACTTTACGTGTGGTATCAAAACTGTGATGTGGAACTTTATGATTATACCTTGTGTGTGTGGTATGAAACCTGTAATGAGGTATTTTAGGAACATACCTTCTTTGGTATGAAACCTGTAATGAGGTATTTTATGAACATACCTTGTGTGTGGTATGAAACTTGTAATGTGGTATTATATGAACATACCGTGTGAAGTATGAAACCTGTAATGTGATATTATATGTACATACCGTGTGAAGTATGAAACCTGTAATGTGGTATTATATGAATATACCTTGCAATGGTGTGTGTGGTATGAAACCTATGTGGTGTTATATAAAAATATCTTGTGTGTGGTATGAAACATGTAATTAGTTATTCGATGATTATACCTTGCGTGTGGTATGAAACCTTTTGTGTGGTAATACAAGATTTTACCATGTGTGTGGTATGAAACCTGTAGTGTGGTATTACAAGATTATACCTGTATTGTGGTATTATATGAATATACCTTGGTGTGGCATGAAACCAGTAATGTGGTATTATGTGAATTTACCTTATGTGTGGTATGAAACCTGTAACATGGTAATATATGAATATACCTTGATGTGGTATGAAACCAGTTGTGGTATTCCATGATTATACCTTGTGTGTGGCATACAACCAGTAATGTGGTATTATATTAAAAAACCTTGTATGTGGTATGAAACCTGTAAATTGGAATTCCATGATTATACCTTGTGTGTGTTGTATGAAACCTGAAATGTGGTATTTCATGAATATACCTTGTGTGTGATATGAAACCTATAATGTTGTACTCCATGACAATAACTTGTGTGTTGTATGAAACCTATAATGTTGTACTCCATGACAATACCTTGCGTGCGATATGAAACCTATTATGTTGTACTCCATGACAATACCTTGTGTGTTGTATGAAACCTATAATGTTGTACTCCATGACAATACCTTGTGTGTGGTATGAAACCTATAATGTGGTATTATATGAATATACCTTGTGTGTGATATGAAACCTGTAATGTTGTATTCCATGAATATACCTTGTGTGTGGTATGAAACATGTAATGTGGTATTATATGAATATACCTAGTATGTGGTATAAAACCTATGTGGCGTTATAAGAATACACCAAGTATGTGGTATGGAACCTGTTATGTGGCATTATATGATTATACCTAGTATGTAGCATGAAACCTGTACTGCGGCCTTGTATGAATATGCCTTTTGTGTGGTATGAGACCTGTTATGCGGTAATATATGAATATACCTTCGTGTGGTTTGTCACCTGTACTGTGGTATTATGTGAATATACCTAGTTTGCGGTATCAAGGTTGTAGATTTCTTTAATCATACAAATGTGTGGTGTAAAAGCTTAAGTGTCGAGTTCCATAATTAAAGCGGAGTGGTTTGAAACCTGTAATGTGGTGTTCCATGAAAATACCTTGTGTGTGGTATGTAGAATGTGGTAGAGGTCCCAAAACGAAGCTAGACTGTGGCTGTGATTGCTGAATGTTCATCAGTATCTGTCCATGAAGCGGGAAACACGTCAAATTACAGACGCGCCGACCACACACTTCAAAAAAGGACCTAAGGCCTCAAAAAATGATCAACAACCTGATCTGAAAAAAAAAACAATCTCAATTCGTGATCTGTGATCAGGAGGAGTGGTGGGAGCACAAAATCTGTTCTGAGTTATGTTTATTTAGAATATAATTTAATGGCCAGGTACATAAAAAAGGAGAGATAACAATATAGATAGATATATCACAATAATACGATTGTTTCATACACAAAATAATGTCTAATTCGTCAATATCGTCGCCGGCCCTGTTTTCTCATCCTGAAGAGCAAACATCAAAAGCGGCCTTTCTACCCTAACTACCTGGCTTTCGTCAGCTGTAAGTGTACGTTGATAAAAGACGACATTTTTATTTAATGCCTCATCATCAGACCGACGTTTATCGCTCGAGGATTAATCTACTGAACAAAAATTTGTTTGAGTGATTTAAACTAATTCGTCCAGTGTGATGGATAAGGTCAAAAATGAAATTATCACATATTTAATAGATAAAACTTAGTGAGATTTAAATGTCAAAAAATAAAGAATAGAAATACCATGGGGACGTGTCACACTTTATGATCTGGATTTAATGCACTTCTTTTCAAACTGCAGAGAGGGATATTTTTTTAGTTTATAAGTTTGATACAAATCTAAAAATACGTGCATTTTCATAAAGTTTTTAGGTTTTTATTTTATAAATTTTTACCAGTTTTTCGGATTTTCTTTATACTTAAAAATGTGGGTTTTTAAAGTTTATATAAGCTTTTGATGCCGACTAATTTTTTTAATTGTAAATATATTCACGAAACCTCAACTGCACAAAAATGTATCTTTAATTTAGAATTAAAAAATATTTTATGATTTTTCAAGAGAATTGTTATGTAAGAAATTTAATGCAAATATTTTGGTAAATACAATGTTACAAAATTGAAAATTTCTTTCATTTTGTAGTAAATTGATGTTTTCATTTAGAATCAATGTCAGTAAATTCTCGATTCTTTGATAAATAGAAGTTATACTTTGACAGTCCTAGAACAGGTATTTAATGGTAAGTGTATTAAGTATAACAGATAGTGAACACATAATTGTTGAAGATACAGACAAAATGCATATATGAATGTTGATTTAGATGGATAAACTGTAGGAATGATGATGGTACGAATTGTTGTAGAAGAATAATGGATTGGATTGGATTGAAAATAATTGATATCTGCAGTGAATGGATTTATGAAATTTGTGGAATTGTTGTATAAACATGAAAGAACAATGTGCATGCAAAGTTAAAGTCATCTTTTTAACATTTTGGTTTTAGACCTTGATATGCCTTAAAAATACGCATTTTTACGTATAGGTAAAACTATAAATTCCAAAAATTAAAAAATGTTAGGATTTTTTCAAAACCTAAATTTACGTTAAGGAAAAACCTAAAAATTTATGATTCATTGGATTTTTTGTAGGTTTTTTTTACGTTTGTCATATAAGTATTTTTACGGATATAAAATAAGTATTTTTACAACGGAGATGGTTACGAAAATACGTATGTCATAAAAATACGTATTTTTACGAAGGAAATGGTTACGAAAATATGTATGTTATACCGAATGTGTATGGAAAATACGTAATTTTACGTATTCCAAACCTAAAATTATGTATATATACGAATGTCATACGAATTTATAGGGTTTTCGGTTAGTAAGGGATTGTCTGACTCTGAGATAATCTGTTATCAGATAATTTTCAGGCAAACTCTCAATATCCTTATTCAAGGGCGAATAAGGATTAAAGGTTATCCACATGAGGAATGATCGACTTATAAATACGATTTTATATATGTATAACTCAGTTTACTCAGAAGTCTTTATATCTTACATTAATTTTCCCTGAAGCTCATTAAATGTGATTCTTTTTTTTTCGAAATCTATTTCAAGACTGTATTAAAGGTATAACAAGGTATCAAGGGCGAATAAGGATTAAAGGTTATCCACATGAGGAATGATCGACTTATAAATACGATTTTATATATGTATAACTCAGTTTACTCAGAAGTCTTTATATCTTACATTAATTTTCCCTGAAGCTCATTAAATGTGATTCTTTTTTTTTCGAAATCTATTTCAAGACTGTATTAAAGGTATAACAAGGTATCAAGGGCGAATAAGGATTAAAGGTTATCCACATGAGGAATGATCGACTTATAAATACGATTTTATATATGTATAACTCAGTTTACTCAGAAGTCTTTATATCTTACATTAATTTTCCCTGAAGCTCATTAAATGTGATTCTTTTTTTTTCGAAATCTATTTCAAGACTGTATTAAAGGTATAACAATACAAATTTAACCTCCAAGTTGTTGTATCTAAAGAGTTTAAGGTCGTCATTTAATTTCTCATTCTTTATGACTTACACAACTTAGAAGTTACGCTCAGTCTTTTTTCTTAAACCTTTAAAACTTGTTTCTTCTCTTTTAAAATCATTAATTTATATCATTTTAACTTTTTATGCAAGGTTAAAAACAAAATTATGTCTTCAGATAATTTTCAATTATCATTTCTAGGTCGCCATTTAAGTCTTACCCTTTGTGGGTTAACCTGCATATCCACAATTACAAAGCTGTATATACTATTTTTTATCAATTAGGACAATTATGATGCTTTCACATGTAATTTGTGATGCTTTGTGTAACCTAACATAACCCAAGCTGTAAAACCAATGAGGAAATGTTTGTGGAGTTAAATCCATCTGAAAAGCACAGGGAAAAACAATGCTTCCTAATTCTTAGCTCATGAAGTCATAATTTGACTGGGAAGTTAATATTTTCTTTAAAAAAAGTGATTAAGGCATCAAATTTGATTGCTCCTTGCTTATGATGCTTTCAAATGTGGATTATGATGCTTTCAAATTACACTTTGGATGCTTTACTACACGGTCAAAGCATCAGAAGTGTTGAAATTGAAAGACTCGATAAAGCTCCTTTAGTTCTAAACATGAGAGAACATTTTTAATCAAAACTAACTTAAACCCATAACCCAGGTCCGTAGCTAGGAATTTAGTTTAGAAATGAAGAAAGTAAAAAAGATGGTTGACCAGAAAAGTTTCGCAAAGGTAAAAAATTGTTTTTAAACAAATTACTTTTTCACATAAAAAATTACCCAATTTCTTAAATCGAAAAGAAATTACCATCAACACAAAATATTGCTAACAAAATTTAGTTTTCTTTCCTACTTTTTCCTTTTTTCGTTTTTCGTTTTTTCACTTTTGGTTTCCTTCTTTTCCTTCTTTCATACTCTTCTCTTTTGTCTCGGTTACTGTGCCTCACCCCTTCTCCGGGTAAAAGGGGGGGGGGCTAGGTGTCCCTGGGCGTGCCCCCTTTTCTATGGGCCTGCTGCAGACCTATGTTTTGATATACAAGATGAAAAGGGTTGTTGGCGCGGCTAGTCAGGGGATGGGAGATCTTTTTTGCTTATCTCTGAAATTACTCTCCCTAGAATTTCCTTACCTATATACGCAATTAAATTCATAATCATTACAATATGTTTTTCTAAGATATGTATTTTTGAAGGTAAAAAAATGAAGGCACTTCTTAAATCATTCATTTTCCATGTATTTTTTTATATATAAAAATAGAGATGTATGAATTGTCGTGTCATCTTCCCAATTGGTCTGGCTCTGCAATAATAAACGCAGTTACATCGTGTCAAATCCAGGTGCACAAAGTCTGCAGTGCGCAGGATGAATTAAATTCTCAATTCTGCGGATGAACCCTTTTGATGACGCCATCACTTGCAAGCTGGCACATTTATTTGATATCCATGCAAATATGATTTTTTACAAGAAAATCTGATGTGAACAAATTAATTTAAAGGCATGGTTCTCCTAAAGTTTTTATAAGTAATAAGTAAATTATGAATAAACGTATTTGCGCAGTATAATGAATTTCCGTTAAAGTGGGATTGTCGTCATAATTTTAATGTGAATATCCATTAAACGAGAGGCATGACTGATTCACAACTGTTTTTATTTTCAATAACAAAAACTTTAATACCTAATATAAACATAAATATCATAAATATAAATATCAATATATTGTACCCATGTAGGACTATACCATTCAGTTTATAATTCCTTTTATGATCATAAAGTTTTTAAAATTAATGAAATTGAGTTATTGCCACAATTCAAAAACTCAAAATTTCTAATCTCTATTTTCTTGCAGTTATAGATGATGTGAACCTTTGATATTTCTTTTCGATATTTCGGGTTGTTTAGCGTTAAATTTTTATTATTTATCGGGGCTAAAAGCGGTAAATTCAAAGATTAAAAATGTACAAATCACTCATTTTATCGATGTGACTCCCATTTTTATCTAAAACAAACTGTATGTTGACAAAGAATGAAAGCCAGAAAATGCTTATCAAATTCTCTTTGTAACTTTATTCAGGCAGCCATGTCCTTGAGAATACTCAGAAAGTTTTCAAAGCCAAACATTTGCTTTTTTGTGGTTGGAAGACCTTATTCAGTAAGGAGTTGAAACTATCTTTTTCAGCATTTCAAGTCGTCAAAACATACAACCTTTAATGCAATTATCGTTTTTATGCATTAAATATGACAAATGAAGCTTAAGAAGTTTAGAGTTTCTCCAGCACTAGTTTATTTAGTAATTTGGATACAAACCTTGATATCTTTTCAATGAGATGTTTTTGTCATTTTATTTCCATCAATTAGTCTTATAGGATCCTGTTCTTAACATTTATTAAGTTTTGGCCAATCTTTTAGCTTATTTTGTTGATTAATTTTAAGTTTTACCATCTTGTGTGGTTTGGTTAGAAACACCCTTTATTTATCAAAAATACCAACGTGCCAACACATAATGCTCTTATAAAACCTATAGAAACTAAATCATTAATTATTGCAAAAAAAAAATAAATGAATAAGCATTTTCTCCTAACTTTGCAAATATTAAAAAGATAAAATATCTGCAATCATCCCTGCACAGATTGCAGCAGGTGGAAACTTTTTAATTTGTAAGTTTGCAAAAACTTTAAGAAATCTCAAATCAAATCAAATTGAAAACTGAAAAAAATCGCAGTTAAAAAAAGAAAATGAGTCTGTGCCACAAGCTCAAATTTCTAATCACTTTATCTTTACAATCTGATAGTGTAAACCCTTGTTATTTTAAACTTAGATTATTTGATCTAACCAAATTAATAGTTTGAAATATAAAAGGTCTACGACATTGGGTTGCAAAGATATGGAGATTACAGAAAATCAG